TGGTATACCTCCATTAACTTAGTGACTTAATATGTATCAAATATTCTAAAAGTAGAAATGTCCTGTACATAAGAAATATTTTTCTCCAGTAGTATTTTATTTTCAGTGTTTACTAAAATAATGTATGATAGTGAAAGTAATAATGATACATGTGTTATATTTTTGTTCTTTGTATTCCGAGTAGTTGCGTTCATATGAACATGTATTAGCCTGTTACAATGAGTATACACTTAGACCTATTACAGGCCTATAGTCGGTTGATATAATAAACCAAGCATCATATTAGTTGTCCAAATTTCTTCTTCCACCTTCCAAAATCTCTCAGTCCCTTATGTGATGTATCTGACTGCAGTTTTATTACAGCAGGTTAACACTGGTCCGGTGGAACAACAAAACATAACCCGGGCCTTCATTACAGGCGCTCAGTTCAAACACATTTACACTTGGGCCATTAAGGGCCTGATTGGTGGTTATTACCCGCTCCTCTGTGAGAACGTCCAGCTGCTGCTTTTGTCAAGGTCGCCATCAAAGTTGTGAGCGCAGGGGGAGAGAGAGAAGAGAGGGAAGGAAGGGAAGGAGGTGGGGGACGGGGGTTAGAATCGTTGGCCTACTACTACTATGGGGCGATCTGTGAAGCCCACACAATGATGCGACACCTACTGACGTGAAATGGAGTCTCAGCTGGGAGAGGGAAGGGAGGAAGAGGAGAGGAAAGAAGGAGGGAAGGGGAAGGAAAAGAGGAGAGAAACATGAAGAGGAGGTGACAGGGTAGTGCAGAGAAGGAAGAAAGGGCAGAAGAGGAAGAGTAGTGGAAAGAAGAAGGGAGGGAGGTAGAGGAGGGAGAAAACCAAGAGAAGAGAATGAGGCAGAGGAGGAGAGAGCTAGAGGAGGAAGAGGAGAGGAGGAATAGGAGAGATGAAGAAGAGGCAAAGGAGAGAAGGGGGGCCAGAGGAGTAGGAGAGGCAGAGGAGGAGGAGATGAGGAGAGATGACAGAGGAGGAATAGGAGATATAAAGGAGAGGTAGAGGAAGACAGGAGAGAAGGGGCAACAGAGGAGGAGGAGAGGCAGAAAAAGGCAGCTAAAGAGAAGAGATATAAGATGTAAAGGAGAGGCGAAGGATAGGAGAGAAGAAGGGGGAACAGATTAGAAGAAGAAGAGGAGGAGAGGAGAGAGGAGGGAGAGAAGACTTCAGGCTCGATTAGGCCTCCCCTCTGGCTCTCAGCTCCATCTCCCTCCGTCATTAGCAGTGAATTCACAGCTGCCTCTCGGAGTATGAGCAGGTGGAGACTGGCTGCCGATGCAAGTGCACAGGCCAGGAGGAAGACTGGTGTCTCTGAAGCTACATGGTGTTCAATAAGATGATAAGGCAATTGGATGTTACTTCCATACACTGGTATGTGAAGTAATGCCTAACTTAGGACTCCAAATCAACCAAAGGCCTAAATCTCATCATTCCTTGTTATATTTCAACCTTATGCTATTACTGAGAATACAAAGGAAGTATTCTTGGTATGTAATTGCTTTTCATAACTTAATCTAATGGATCCACTGGTTGGTATAGCTTGATCATTCCTATTTATTTCAAGCTGTAATGATTAAGTATGGCTGGAGATGCATTTTTCCATAAGTCAAGTTTATTGCTGTATGCCAGAGCATTTTTTAAACATGTCCTAAAATGTAATGAATAGGGAAAGGGGAGATGGATGTGAAATGACTGAATGAGTTCATGAGGATGCAGGGTGAGTGTGGGGGTGGGGCCCAGGCTTTGGGAGAATGAAAGATAAGCAGATAGTCCAAGTGAGAATAGTGACAGTGACAGAGCCCCATGCAAAGATAAACAGCAGCTCCAGTGCAGCTTGTGTAATGGCTTTGCACGTGCGATTTGTCACTTCATGTGAAACGCAAACAGCAGGAGAAGCTAGAGCAACACTCTGCACTCACACTTACCATTGCCCAAGGGTGTCTGAGCACAAGCCCCCATCTGCCCACAAAACTGGTGCCCACTGCTCTGGTCAGCGGACTCGTACCAGTCAAGGCTATGATCCACATGATGGCACACAGGCTCAGAGTGATATGAGTCATAGTGTGGTAGCATTTTACAACATGTTTTTTATTGTAAAACTGAACACAGTGCACACTATATGAGAAACTAAAGTGTTAATGCTCAGTCTACAGACATACAATGGTAGTATAAAGGCAGCAATATTAAGAAAACTGGGGAAGGAACATGTTTGTAGGAAAAGCTACAGAGTGAATAAGTGCATAAAAAATCTGATTATACGTCCACCATTTTGGTGTAAATCAAATACTGTGAAAAACCCTGATCACAACAAAAGACAGCACTGCCATCCTGTGGCTGTTTCTAAAACTACACACAATATATTTTCAGTTCAACAAAGTAAACTTTTCACTAAGTATAAACAGATAAAATACAAAATGTTTCAACATACCAAAATATGATAAAAAGTAAAAATGTGCCATTTAAATTAATTATTTAAAGTAAAATCAGTCCAATGCATATTATACATTTAAAATGAATCCTACCTCAGATGAATGTCTGTTAGTGTTTAAGTATAAGATATATCCCTACGAAGAGAAATAAGCCTAAAATCCTATAGGCTTCATCCTATTAAAATACTGTCAGGAGCACCACCTAGTGGTGGTATATGGCCATGCATCATTAGCCTTGATCTTTTCCCGGAGATGGGCAGCAGCTCCCCATTGGCTTTCATCTGGTCGATTTTTCGCGCCAGCTCAGGATCAGTGTCAATAACCATTGTGCACTTCTGGGCATAAGACACCAGAGTCTCCTCTCCTTGGCGGAACGTGCCTACCAAGCGGGTCAAGTCTTTGCCCGCTAGCTGTACTTCTGCTATAGAGGCCGTGTTAGCAATAGTGTTCCTGTCAATTCCATGATGGCGAAAGGCTTCACTCATGTTCTTTTTCTTGTTAAAGGCAGACAGGACTTGTTTGTAGCGATGGATGACATATTGGATTCCAGTGGCTAGGTAAGATAGACAAGAATGAAATGCATGCACTCATTTAGAGTGAAAGGTACAGTATATTGATGGTACCTCTTTTCCGGCTGTAGTCCTTTGTCTTCTTGGATTTCTTCTTGTCTTTGTGATGCTTCCTCTTTCTCTGTTCACTGGAGGCAGCAGACACCTCTGAGCCGTCTGAACCTTCACAGTCACTGTTGCTGCTGGACGAGGAACTGGAAAACCCTCGCTCTCTTTTGCGAGATTTAATTTCTGAACTGTGGGTTTTGCTTGGCCTCGGAACTAAAAAGATAAGATAATGAAGATAAGAAAGTATATTAATATATTGTATTATCAAATTTTTTCACAAGTAGCCTGGCAAGGAATAAGAATCTACTTCATAGTTAATAATGTGATAAAATTGCCATCTTACATTCCTACCTAATGCTTTTAACTTGAATGCAAAAGAATTGCCCACAGACCTTCAGCCATTGGATTAGGTGCAGCAAATGTCTGTAAGGAGCGGTTGCTGGTGAGGTTCTCGATCTGGTTCCTGAGAAACTGTCGGTCCTGCATTAGGTCCTCCACCTGCATCTCCAGGGCAGCGATGCGCTCTTGTTTACTCTCCAGCATGCACTGGAGCTTAGTGATGGTCAGCAGCACCCTTGGGGGCAGCCCCTCTGTCATTGACACATCTAAAAAAACAGAGCAGATAATTTTTACAATAAGTGTCAAAGTTTTGAGCAATGGCTTGGTAGATACAATGCCTCATACTGGACATGGCGCTGCTGGGGGTGTTGTCTTGGACCACATCAGAGGGTCCCATCTGGAAGTTCTCAAACTTGATGATGCGGAGGTCATCCTGCTCCTGTTTCATCCATGCTGTGGAGTTTAGCCTGTCTTTGCTCCTCACAGAGCTGGAGTCTATCTCCAAACAAGGGGAGTACGCTGACGCCTCCTGCTGCCACACTGACGACATGACACCACGCTGTAAAAGAAATGTAAAGTACATTCCTGGGATAAAGATTGGCCAATTGGAGTAGGCTATTTTATGAGTGTATGTATTTCGATAGCAGGATACTTTTTAAATGATAAATAATAATGATGACGCCTGTAGTTTTGAGCACAACCCTAAAATTACACTTACCTTTATCACTGCTTTGTGAAACAAACCCTTAGCCAATTGTAAAATAGTCCTCATATCCTGACATAACTTTAGCTCTCGAGTCTATGGAGCAAGTGTCTCCTCAAAATTTTAAACCAACAGAAGGTTGCAGAATAATCAATCTCAAGTCATATTCGGTCAGTCATTTTCACCTACTGTAGATAATCCATGAAATGATTATGACCTCAATGACGCTATGTTATAAGAATCTTATTGTATTGAAGCTCAGCCATTTTTCCCCGCAGCGGTTTAATTACTCCCCCTAAGATGGAAGCTGTAATTAACTAGGCAGAGAGGAGAAAATGCGGCTAGAAAAGACCGAGGAATACGTGGAAACTAACCGACCTCACACGGAATCCGATGGACTGAAAAGACGCTCCACTCCCACTTTGGGTTTTTAAATGGTCAGCGTGTTCAGAAATCAAAACAGTCCTCAAAAATATGAAATATTACAGAACGCGGAACACAAGAGGCGCACGTCTGGCAATGGGCGGGGCAAAGACTCCTACTCTGTTTAAGGACCGTCGGATTTCGGAGATGCTACCAAGACCACAACTAGAATATACTAATATATTGCATACACAAATTTAAAATAATCTCTATATCTGCTTATATGATGTTTATATTAGCTGATGCTATGTACTGATGAAGCTAAGTATGTTTTATTTTCGAACATGTCATGTTAGGATTCATTCGTTTTATTCTCGAGTCATCAAATATCTTACCGCATGGAAAGGCAACAAAGAAGGCACGTCAATTAACAATTTATTATTTACCATTTTCTCATGTAAAGCCTAGACGCATTAATAATTGTCCTATGAAACAGACAAGTCAGGTAAATAAAATAATGGTACGATTCAGCTGTTACAATATACTTTATTAGCAGCTACTCTAAATATCTTTGGCTACAGAGGCAACAAAGTTCAAGTTTTAATGTTCAATGCCATTAATCATTGACAGTATTTGCAGAAGTGGTATTAAATCTAATATTTCAGCTGATTGACTTATCAGCACAAACATAAGCTAATTTAAAATGCCATTGTCATTTAACACACAACCGATTGTTAGACTCTGACTCATTAACAATAATACCATTGTAATTAAGTAGCAGTAAACCATAAGCTATGTAGTAGTTTACTAGTAAAAGTATAAGAAAAATATAGTAAGTAAATACACATTTTTGATGTAGACTTCATGTAACTAAATATATAATCTTCCATGTGCAACTGTGAGGCAACAATTTGCATAACATTTCATTACTTTCACTATTCCAAACTTACTTTTTTCATATAACTTACTATCTGCCTTCATCTCACTTAGTATTACAGCCTTACAGAGTGATTGCATTAGTTGTACAGCAGAAGACAATACTCACTGGGTTGTAAAAGAAAATGACCAAAGGTACAGTAGCAGTTGTAACATCAAATATAATAAATAAGCTTCCAGCATTAATGGTAGCCTATGCAGTGACTAAATAACTGAATCAATATAAGCAAAATGTTGTTGTCTGCTGACAGTGTGGCCAAACTAAATCACCTGTTCACATTTACTTGCATCAGTAGCAGTGCTATGACATTATTAAAATTTGTTCATTAAAAAAATAACAAAGTTGTTAAAAAAAGTTAAAAATCTGAGCCCCATGTAAGGCAGCAGGCAACCAGATTGAGGTGAATTTGTCATAAAAAGTACAAATAAAATAAAAAGACAATACAGTTAAAATAACAGACAATTATCACACATTAATCAGCCCTACACATTGCTACTGTTAAACAAGTATTCTGATTCTCACGTTAGACCATATTGTATAGGGTGTAACATGTTCAGTGACAGATGGCCAGTAGGAGGCGTTTGAAGTCACCGCTGCACTCATCCTTTAGGGCATCCTTCAGCGACACATCATACTTCTCCAGATACATGTCTTTGATGGTCTCCAGGTCATACTGTTATGACCAAGAATAACCAAGATGTAACCATAATTTATTACATAGTCACAAACATATTAATAATCCAAAATTTTTCTATTATTGTGTATTACCTCAGAGCGAGTCACAATGATACGGATGAGTGTGTCTTCGTCAGTGCCTGCTCCTTTCATGGCATCATGCAGTCGTCTGGCAAAGTACAGCTGTGGGTTCTTAGCAACTCTCACTGTGAACAAAAAACACTAAATTAAAACTTTACACTAATATACTTTAAACATAGAAAAGTAAAATGTGCCAACTGTATCAACTCACTAGAATAAAAGTACACATCATCAAAGCATGTGTATGTACCTCCTATGCAGAATTTCATTTACATTAGTTTTGAGCTAATGTATTATGATACATTGAAAAGTTTGAAACTAAAACCACTGAACAAAAATAATCTCTTTTCAAACTTTTAAACAATGCTCACAAATATAACATATTCAGATATTTTGTGTGGTTAGATAAAGAGGTGTAAGAGAGAGATACATAGTAAAGAAAGCTAGTACAAACCAAGGGCTTTATAACATTTCTTCAGAGTCCCAGAAGTTTCATTCTCAATGGCATCCAAAATCTCAGTTCCAGACAGCTAAAAATCAAACAAAATGTTAATATGTAATCCAAGAAATACTAATGGAGTCTACTTAGTTTAACGGGAGAACTACATTCAGATCTTGCATATCACGATACACTATATAAATATTTGAAATGCTTCTCCTACATACCTGCTCATATATTTTAAATGTGGCCTGGAGTTGGAGGTAGTTTCTCATAGCCAGAACATAGCTGAAAGTGGACTCATCTGTCCCAAAACACCCCTCACCAGCCTAGATGAGATTTTGCACAATTAATATCAAACTATAAATACCCAATATAACATTCAAATATGAAGTAGCACCTCAAAAAGTGCAGTGGCATCTTGCTCTGCCAGTTCCTCATCCACCTCGTATGTTTCATCTCTGTTTCCCTGAAAGAAGTGTTTTGCTGTGAGACATAGAGCCTTCTGTTTGAGTGCGGGAATTCAATCTGGAGTCTGATTTGGTAATGAGAGAGAGAGAGAGTTTGGTGTGTGTCCAGCTTGTGCATGTGTATATAGAGCACAGGGAGAGTGAGAGCTCTATTTCAGACAGACAGCCAAATGCTGAGATATAGTTACAAAGCTGCTGTAGAAACTCAAGGCAACTTACCTGCAGCAGTGCCATTAGGAGGTTACGAACGTCGCCGCTGGTGTCTCCCTCAATGTCGGCCTCCAGATCACGTTCATGGACTAAATAATAAAAGGTGGAGAAAAGGTTCAAATGTACAGTGCATTTATTATTAGTAATCTACCTGTACTTCTCTTCACTATATCTTATAGTAACATTTGACAATAATGGTACATGAGGTAATGTGTTCATTGTGATTCAGCTATAATTTTATTGTGATTTTCTCATTACTTTAACATAAAATCAATCATTAACCCATTGTGACTTCACTCTGAATTCACATGGATTAAGAATGATTCATGCATAAACACACCACAAATTAACATCAGTAAACTCATTAATGAATAATACAAACTAATTAAGATCTTCATGATCACAATGAATTCTATAGTTAACATGAACTCATCTTGACCTCGGCCAATCTAATGACAAACTGGGACTTTAAAATGAATTCTATAGCCATAGTGAATTCTGGACTCATAATGTGTTAATGGCTGAACTCCTGACAACCTGATGAAGTCATGGATGATTATGAATCATACTGAACTGAACATTCTTGAACATGTACTGTTACTAAGATAGCTAAAATAGATCTTTAACCAGACTGGAAGAACATCTTTTGGTTATGTGTTATGCTACTCCACCAAGATGTGTTTTCAAAAGGATGTTAACAGTACAATAGAAACTTCCTACAAAAGCCAAGTGTTTCCTTATCATAACCGATGATGTTATTGCCTGCAATCGACATATCAGCGTTCTCATCAAGGTTAACAGGAAAACTGCAATTTGGGAGGACTTAAAATAAACTCTGTTAACTAAAACCATTGAATGTCTGGCTCAAATGTAATATCAAATATCATAGCAATGTTGTATTACTAAATTAATATACAGGTAAATAATTAAATACTGTGTTATTAAAATGCTGCACTTGGAATTCTGCATTCTGTATTTGTATCAAAATGTATTGCATATTACATGTGGAGATGGTGATGGTGGTGGCTTGTATTTGTAGGCAGGCAGACCTATACCTACCTTGGAAGTAGCATTCCTTGAACATGGCAATGTCCTATGAGAACAAAACAAATAAATTATTTAGACACATCACCACAGCTGATTATTGACACTATTTCACAGACTCATTTTAAGAGTTAATTTTAGGAACATTAGAGACTTACATCATTGGTGGCAGTACAGAGGATCTCCACCAGGACATCCTCATCTGTGCCGGCTCCCTTCATGGCCTTGCGAAGCTCCTTCACAGCATAGATGACAGGTGGATCCAGCATTGCCAAGATAGCCTTTTCAAAGTTTCCAGACAGCTCGCTCTTCAACACATCCACCAGCTCCTATGACAAACAAGCAACATGCAATAACTATTTTGAATATCTTGTATGTCATGCCAATATATGTAGATAGAATCGTCTAATATTTTATTCATTTGTTCAGTTATAATTGAAAACTCCAATAATTAATTAATATGACTGTAACAATATCTACATCGTACAATATGGTATTTATAAAACAATACTGTGAACTTTTCATTGTGATAGTTTGGTCGGACACTTGCCAGCAAATGCAAAGCTCTCGTTAAGAAGCCTTGTCAAAAATTTCGAGGAATCATTATCATTCTGTTTAAAAGCCTAGTAGTAAATATTTAATGAAGGCTGTCCTTGAAATGAACAGAGGATCATGTCATACGTAGAATCTTTTGCTTTTTTATTCCAGCACCATGGAACAATACTTTATAAAGCAAAGAGTATGGCATTTGACAATGGGTAAATTCACTGTATATTTGGTGATACTTTGATATTACTAGATTGCCTGTTTTGTCAATGGGAAATATGAGATTGCTAAATAAACAATAATTACTGTCTGTATTTATACAATAACTTACATCATCATATTTGTCAAAGTAGGCCTGTTTAATTTGCTGCCTCTGGGCTGAGCTGCGGTAGGCCAGGATGTCAATGATAGCCTGCTCATCCGTGCCTAAAAATGACAAATAAAAGTAATCCAGTCATCTTATTTCCACAACTAATTACCTTAAATTGCTACGTCCAACTTACCCAGCCCTTTGCAAGCTTTCCGGATAGCCTTGATGTCTGCCACGACATCAAAGTCCTCATAGGGCACAATGGTAGGCTGAAGACAGAAGATGAATGTTTTGATTATATTGTGAGTGAAACTGATAATTGAGTGGGTAAAGTAATCTTGGTGGGATAGTGATGATGGTAATCCAACAGCAGCTGACAGAGGGGGAGGGGTACTTGACACAATGCACTGTGGAATTCAGGGCTAGAATCTTTAAACAAACTTGATGGGGCCATATATAGGCTACAGGCTAGTGAACGTATACCCTAAGTGAGAGCCATACAGTTGGGCCTATAGCCTGACTTAAATAACAACATATTAGATCATATGGCAGTTTACATTTGTCAGCACTATGTCAAGATACATTTATTTCACAGAAGCTTATGTAAGAGTAAGTTATTTACACATTTCTTAACTACCCACGTGCATTTTTGTCATCGGTCAGAAGTAAGGTCAATGAAAGTGAAACGTTTTGAAACCCTCCCCCATTGTGCACCGCTGAATCCACTCTTGTCCAAGCAAAGGCTACTCATTCACATCTAACGGAGCTGTGGAGAATTCCGCAGGGGAGCGGCTGTTTTCCTCTGCGTAAAGTAACACTGAGCTTTTCATGATATTCAATGAATCGCGCAGAAATTGTATGCGTGCGTTGAACGCGTCATATAAGTGTGCTGTTTGAACGGTGTCATGTATTAAAGAGCATTTGGTGAGAGAAAATCTAATTCGCGTATGCTATGGTCCATTTTTAAAGGGACACGCTGGACAAATGCGCCACACATGTAGAAGTAGAATTGAAATGCAGAGAAAAAAAGGAAAGGGCATTACTTAAGTCAACTTTGATATGGCTCCTACTCGGGTTGTGTTGGACGTGCTAGACTGAAATAAATCTGAGCGTGTCGTGTAGTAAAGCGGTGAGAAAAATGTGCGTAATTTGATCAGATTTGTGGACAACCGTGCTAGTTTAGGTCACAAAATATCAAAAATAGTACTCACTTGACAGTTGCCCATTTTAAGAATAATTTGTCTTGTAGGGACTGTGCTGGTGCTGTGAGATAGGAAGGCGACTTTGGCCAAACTGTCCAAGCGACGGCCAGAGAAGACTGCGCGTCTGACGTCACGACGTACGTTCGTCTGAAGCAGGTTAACCATTTAACTTTGGGACGCACTGAAGTTAGGGCAGGGCAGGTTTCAGTCTGTATCACTTTGCATTAGATGTATCTGTGTGTAATATATCTGTAGAGACGGGGGTTTGGAGTAGAAGGTTCCGGGTAACTCCCATAAACCATATTGAACCCTGATCATGGAAAATAAATGTTGATGACTATGCTCAGTCTAGCAGTTCTCTGTACTGGTGTTGGCAGACTAACGCTAATTGAACATTTCTTGTGCTGCTCGAAATAAAATATACATCAAATAATTCTCCACGTTCCCCACCTCACACATAGGGTACTTTAGTAGGCTTATAGTGACAGTTTTAATGGCAGGCCTATAACAAATAGGTTAGATTAGGCAAATGGAAGTTATAAGATTAGGCTATTGTACACCTAGACCAGTGGGTATAGTTGTAAAGTAAATTTATGGTGTTTTATTGACAATTTGGAACCAAGCCTTAGGCCTATAATTTTTGCCTAAAATAAATTTGTGAATACATAAAAAGAAAAAAATATGGTTTGGGATATTTTTGACCGAAATTGTACCATCCATAAGAGTACAAATATGAAATTAAAAATCTACAAGACACGACTGAGGAGCAGGCTATATGCCACTCCCAAGTCACTGCGCTTTACGTCAACGCAGGACCCTTTTGAATAAATTCACTCCAAAGGATTATACTATTGTCCTTTTTGGGTCCTCATCCATCATGACTAAAAGACAAGCCCACTGTTATTGGCACTATATAAATACAATTGAACTGTATGGAATTGTCCCATCTTCAATGTCCCTAATGTCACCTCTAGTGGATGCATTATCTGGGAGAAGATATGGGCCTGTTGAAATGAGCTACCTCTACCCAAATTCATATAAATGAGTAAATAATGGTGATTCTACAATGGGAGCATTATTTGATGGCTTAGGCTGTCAGAATGTACTACCTTTAGGGGGAGCCTTATTTTGAATGTGCACACGCCTTAACACTGTTTCTGTTTGTTTCTGTTCCCATGGTGACTGGCTTGGAGGGGCCAACTGAGCCCTGTGGTCCTGAGATCTGATGAAGCTGACGAGAAGAACCATGTCTCCAGAAGATGACGAACAAGAGCAGATCAAAATTGATGTGATGAAGCTAACCAAAAGAACCATCTCTTCAGAAGATGAAGGACAAGAGCAGATCAGCAGTGATTTGATGAAGCTGACTAGAAGACCTGTGTTGCCTCTGGGCATGCAAATTGGCCCACGGAGGAACTTGAGGACTGGTACTTTAATAGTGCATGTCCACTGTATTTTTTTATTTCAATTTACTTAAAGGGGCATTATGTAGCTTTTCTGATGGGAGTCCGCTACCTGATTGTCTCCATGGAGATGCTATTCCTTTAACTGAGAAGTAATACAGTATATCAAAATTTATACAATATATCTAAATGTATCTATGTAACATATTATAAGTTATAACTGTTTTAAGTGCATGCAAGACATGATTAATGTCACTCCACAGATCTGACTTATACCTTGACCAGGGGGCATTAACAGTTTGTCTCTATAGAGGTACTTTGGTTTACTGCAATACTACACGTCTCCGTGGAGACTAACAATTGCTGTTAAAGGTGCCCTGTATGAATGCTATTGTTTTATTAAACTAAATATTGGAGACTGGTTTAAATGTTGTTCTGCCCAGATCTTAGTGTTTCACAGCCTTAGTCCCATAGCAGACATTTGTGTTTAGATTTGTGAATGACAAGACCAGCCACAGCAGAAGTCAAAATAAAAGGAAGAAAGTTGTATTGCCAATGTCAGTGAACAAATGCATGAATATGCACAGCCTACCTCTTAGGCATGAACCACGACAGTGCTCCTTCTGGTTCCTCTGATGTCAATGTGCCTAAAGGAGCAGTGCTGTATGGAGGGGCCTGTACAGACTGCCCTCCCTGGTCTCCATGATGACTGTGTGTCTGCAGTGGAAGTAACAGGGCATGGACGTGATCTACTCGAGAGATACTCGCAGATACTCTAGGTACAAAGATACTCTACTCTAGTAGAAACAGTTAGTTGAAGTAGGGATAGATAGGCTAATGTTCCTGGAGAACACTGGTAAAACAAACGGACAATAAAAAAAATCCAGCAAATACAATTTTCAGTGTTCATGTTAGAATTGGAAAATACCAGTAAGATGTTGGCTAGTTTTTTATTAGTATCATGGTCACTGGAGGAGTAAAGTTTTCGAATTGTAATTTTATGTGGGCCTATAACCTACTGTAGTCACTTAACTTAAAGCTTTTCTGGTAAGTATTATGTAATACAAAGTTATCATACCCATGACATACCACAGATAATCTACCAAAATAAAAATGAAAAACACCAAACTACAGAAGCATTCAGTTAGTACAACCATTTGCACAATTACATCAAGATGACTCCTACAGAAGCACTGTCCAATATAAGCCTGTATTGACTTGCTGCTTGTACTGTTTTCAGGCTTCAGAAGGCTGCTACTGTTATATGAAAATATTTTGCCAAATGTTTAAAAATGCAGGTTCTGTAAGTCAGATAGGCCCAGTGTGTTAATCTTTATGATAACCACAAACATGTACTCTATGTAGAGTCAGAAAACAGAAGTCCTTTCAACTATGTTACACAAACTTGGTTGAAAGGACTTGGTTAAAAGGCTGCAGTTTTAACATTCTACTGTAAAAATTGCAGTATTTTAATAAACTCTAATTATTAATATTTTCATAAAATAAATTTAAATGTGCTCATGTGCTTTTCTTCACATTGACTTGTCTGAGGCTGCAGCAGCAGTACAGCAGAACTTAAGACAAGCATGACACCTTGTGGTGCTTGACTGCTGTATAGTAGACAAGAACAGCACCCATAAGTTTCTTGCTTAAAACCTGCGTGTTAACAGGACAACTAACACCGTCAAAGTCTGTTTACCACAAAGATGAAGATATTGGTGGGGGGATCTCAGCTGTTATGTCAGTAATGGCATCCACAAAACTACTTGATGAAAAAATACAACACCACAAGAATGCCAATAAGATTTTTTTTTTTTTCTGTAACCACATTGGTTCAAATCTATCCTGACTTCACCCTTTATGTTTATGTCACAGTTAGGCCTTCAGTAAGGCAACGATTCATACATGTGTATGCGCCTTCCATCTGACATTAATTGACCTCTTTGAACTTTTGTGGTATTCACAGAATTCAAACTCTGAATCTAGTCTGATTTTCATGCAGTGGTTTATAAGAAAGCTACTTAAATAAGCATGACAAAACATTCCATTGCATGCTCATGTCATATTGTCATACTGTACACCAACATTCTTATGAATGCCAACTTAAAAAGAGAAGCATTTTTCTTATGTCTCTCAAGCCCTAATTGAATTAGACTAACGGGCAGCGCATGGTTAGTCCCCTAATCAGATGCCTCATAACGTGACCACTCTGTGCAGTCTTGCTCCAATTCACTGTACAAGAGCCGGACGTGACAACAGACAAAATGTTTCCCCTTTACCTTCAATCCCGGTGAGTACTCAGAAACAGCATTTTGCATTACCCTCATGTGATTTATAGCTACGCACGAGGGACTAATTTATTGTGCTGCATTTGTATTGGTGTTTCACTGGAAATTTGCTTTAATTTGGACATAAACAATATACTTATTTGCGAATAACGTTTTCATGTAAGAAAAATAAGTGTCGTGATCTATACCCTTGCTTTAATGTTACTTTATTGTGTTTACAGTATTTATTATTTTCAACCATTTGGTTTCAGTGGCTGCTTATGTTGCGTTATAGTCTACTTGAGAGCAATAATGTAGTTTTCACAAGCAGAAACTTGAGTGCTACACTACAGGTGCCTTAAAGTAACCTGATCAGTGACCTATAGGGCTAGGTTTGAAATGATAACGTAAACCTATAACATGCTATTGCAGAGTAATGACCCTAGAGGGCACAATCAGCTTACTTTTTTTTTACCTCTGACTGCAAAACAGTGTGAGTTTGCCGTTTTAATGAGATAGCAGTAGGGTTAGCATTAGTTCAGAAAGCTCTACCCATGCGTCTGTTTAGGTGATTGCATTAAACGCGCCATACATAAACAGCAGGAAAACCGATCAGATCCAGGGTCTTCTCAGCCAGTCAGTGCGGAGACAAACCAATCAGCTGACCGCCGCATGACAGCCAGCCGCGGCGCATGCGCACTCCGGGCTCCTGCGCTATCAGGAACATGGCAGCGTCCTGAGCGTTGTGGGGGGAATACGGCGTAATTGAACACCTTCAGACAGCAAGCATCAGACTGGGAAAACTGAAAAGCACCAGCTACACCCAGAGAGGAGGGTGGGGGGCTGAGGGACCGCTACGCTAGACACCCCTTAGCTATTTTGCAGGTAAACACATCTTCCGCTACTTGCCACTTGCGCCTTTAGCTATCTTCTCAATGTTTGCTTGACTGACTGGACGCTGCTGCTGCTGCTGCCGCTGCTGTTGCTAATGCTAACTAGCTCTTCTGCCTGGAAACCTGGATATGGGGGCTAGCTTTGGATAGCTTAGCCTAAGTAAGTAGCAATCGCCTGCCTCTGCCACAGCCCCTTATCTGCATTTAGCAAACAAACGGTCGTAAGCAGTTGTCAAATACATCCTGCACCGGAGTAAACAACAGCGTAAAGACACGAATGTCGCCGTGTATTTTGAATACAATTGGATCGCGTAGGCCTGTTGTAATGAAGCAGAGTTTGAGAGGAAAGGAGCGTTAATACTCCTCCTGATCATGGATTTACTTGACAGATCAACAAGGCGAGCCAGGGAACATTCAGCCACAGTCCGATTGGTGAATAATTTTAAAGCCATCCATGAATTTTCAATCAACACGTTAGCGTTGTGCATTATTACAATACGTTGTGTGGAGGGCTACTGGTTTACTTCCTAAATTTACTCACGTACAGTAACTTCCTGCACGTTTCTTTGCATTTAGAAGAAGTAAATGCATTGGCTTCAGTTTACAATGAAGTACATAGAAATATATTAATAGTATTAAGGTCCAGTTGTGGTAGCCTTCTCTTCCTCTGTCACATGCTATGTAGTTTATTTCAGATATTGGTTAACCAACTAGTGCCAATTAAAATGCATCATTACCGCTGCCAAGTGATGTCACAGCACATGACAGTTCAACCTTTGCACTTAGAGAGGCTTTGACTATTTTCTATTTTACAATAAATACGACTTGTTGTTATGATAGTTGTCTTCTAGATTAAATGTTGTTAGGCTATACAAAACAGTAGGGCTGCAACTAATGATTATTTTAGTAGTTGACAAACAATAATTTCTATGGCGCTTTGAGATTATGTTTGAAGTTTATTATTGATTAAAACAACTAATTATTATTTTTTGCAATTGTGTTTTAATATTACTGCTGTCTTTGTCTTTTTTTACACTGTTATTCTAAAATGCAGCCCTACTAAAGAGGTGATATTAAAACAACTGTTATAAATACTCTTGGGTTTTTTATGTCATATATTTGTGAATGCTTTCTTATAATGCATTTCACTGTTTTTCTTTTGTATTCACCTCAGAGCCCTACTTTCTATTGATCTGCATAAAGGCAGGAAGTACAAGGAGGGCTGGTCACATGACTCCACAGAAGTCTGCCTCAGTCCTTTTTACACTCCCCACACAGTAATATAATCAAAGTGGCCTCTCCGGCAGCAGCATGGGGCTAGCTCTGCTCTGCTGGCTGTTAACATCTCCTGTTGTACATTGTGTCAACCCCCTGTCCTTTGCTTTACTCAGCCTCCTGATTCAACCAAGAAAAGAGGAGTCATCGTGTGCAACTGCAGAGGATTACTGTCAAACCGTTGAGACATAAGCAGAGCCATATGTTCATTTTGTGTCTAGAGTTCACAGAGAGCTCATTATGGTTGGATTTGTGTCTCCTGTATCTTGCTTATTTGCTTTCTACGATGGAGAGGAAGGAAAAGTGGAGTGTGAGTTTTCCCGGATCCTGGCAGAATGCTGACACAGGTTCTCATCAGTGCAGCTGTTAGCAATAACTGCACTGAGGGCTAGACCTGAGCATTTATTCACACATTAGTTTAATAGCTTGTCATTGTTGATTTTTATATAAATACAATGTTAATTTGCTTGTATAGGAACAGGTTTTGTTTTTCACTTCACAGCAGAATAGCCCAGTCTCTGTTAATGCCTACAGTGTCTGGTGATGGCTTCTTGATTCTGCACACTAAAGTGGTCTACATATCTTACCCCCCCCCCCATTCTTGCTGAAATGTGAATCTAACTGTCTTGCTTGTTTGATCACCCAAAAGTCAATTACCAAAGCACGCTTAAATTGGAATCGATTAGTTGACATAGAACCAATTACAGGGTTTGAATTGAAGAATATATTTTGTAAAAGCCTGTTACAAAGTGTTTTCTATATTGCAGATTTTGTGTGACTGATAAATTTGAGTTGTAGTGGTTGGTGCCATTAACAGAAAATTAACCTTTGTAATATCATATTGTATTCTTATATCTGGTATCCCTAATATGATATAATAATATTATTAGTTAGTTTGTTGTTTTGGTTGTCAGTGGAATATCTTCTAATCTGCAAGCAAAAAAATTACAAAAAAGACAGTTTGAAAAAGAGAAATTTAATCTTTAAAAATTTGAGAAACCAAAATAAAAATCTGTCATTTTCCCCCAGTTCTATTATAACTTCAACAATGTCTTCTCATGTGGTCTTTTTGATACAGCTCTGTCTGTTGCTATCAAAGTGATCAATAGGCCACCCACACACGCACACACACACGCACACAGGCTCTGCAGCAGTGTATCGACCAGTCATCAGCTGTTTTGATGACTCCTTCCCTCAGGCTCTGAACAGCAGGTTGTTTTTCCTCTCCTGGCAGGCATGTCTGTTTAATATATGTGTGAAGATACAGTTCATGTGAGGAGGATTGATCATGCGTTTTAGTCTGTCAGGATATTCTATGGCTTATATTAAACATGTGCTGTAGAATCGCTCAGTCACGGGTTGTTGAGAGGCTGCTGTGAGACTTTACCTTCCAGACGCAGTATGTAGAGTGAGTGTGTGAAGTGTGTGGTGGTACATTAAAAGGTGTGTTACATAAACCTGAGTCTGACTATGCGTGTGAGGGCCAGGGTGCAAAGAAGAGACACTTCTGGTGCTCAGGAATTAACCAAGATAATTTTTGTTGTATTATAGGTCCTATATTATGCAAAAGTGACTCTTGTGAACTTTAAGCCTTTAATTTAGGTACCTCCTCAAAAACATACCCACAGTTTTACTCAGTTCTCTCATGTCTGAATAACTTTTTATTATTAGTCTATCTACATCTCCAAAGCTCAAAATGCTCTGTTTCATCTTTCGATGTCATGAATTGTGAGTTTTCATGTTAACAATTAACTTTTATCTTATGTTTCTGAGAATTCCAGTCCAAGGCTTGCGTGATCAGAAAATTGCCATTTTCATCTACCCCTTATCTCCCCCCAATGCTTTATATTTACTTGTAATAACAAAAAAAAATCTGGGTCATAGATATATTGTTAAAAATATCACATAACCATTTTTAACAATAATGGGGTTTTGGCTGAAGCTTGGCTGTAAATCTGTGTTTTTATAGCCCTTCTAACTATCAAAAATCAACCACAGGGCACAGGGATATTTATATGCTAATTTTGATCAACACTTTTGTCTTCTAGGTCCTGTGAAAAGATGAACGTCGTCAAGGACAACAAAGATCTGGCCTGTTTCTACACCACCAAACACTCCTGGAGGGGGAAGTAAGAGACACTACTATCTCACAATAAATATCCAGATATGATTTCAGGTCTAGTTTTACTGCCTATTTCAAATAATCTGTGTCAGCTTTCAGAGCTACGTTAGCTATTTTTTGTTTTACCATAAGGGAGGCGGTTCCATTACACTGACTTCCTTATCTTTGCAAGGAAAAGATGTGTAGTGAATGCTTTGTCAGACAATGGCAGCAGTGAGATGAGTGGAGCGTTATTTTGAACTGAATATGAAGAGAGGATACATTTTATGAATGGATGGCAAACCATAAATAACTATGAAGATAATTTGTAGCGTAAAAGTCACACAAGTTGTTATTTAAGTGGTTTGTACTACACAAAACTAAAACAAATTGAACTTCCTTTTAACACGTTTGGATCAGTGGAACTAATTAGAAAAATTTAATGATTTCACCACTAGATTTCACTTTATTAAAATATTTTGATCCATGAGATAAGTTGTTTAGCTCCAGTGCACAATAAACCCAACAGCAAAATAAGCACAGATCCCTTCATGTTTAAATATATGATGTAACCTTTTACGATTTAGCAGTCTATCTTAAATTAACTTACAATTCAAGTTGATCTATTTAAAATATTATGTAACTAAAATTTTGCTTAAGTATTGGATAATAATGTAGACTAATAAATATACTTGTGTAGTTCTAATTGTGCATTTGACCTAAAATTAGCTGTGACATGATGCTCTGCTGAGAAGAATGAACCAGTCCAAGGGAGGCAGGCAGATCATATTACCAATACCTGCTTTCTAAATGTACTGTCCCATTAGCTCAAGCCTGGATCCATGTAACTCAAGCAGGGCTGCCATCTAGCTCTAGCCCTCAACAGAGCATCATGTGGATAATGATAGTTGGACGTACTATGTGATACAGTGTGTAGATGTGAGGATTTTACTGCAATAGTTTGTAGCAGGATGGTATAAGAGTCACCTTTTTACTATCCTCTGCTCTTATCTCATTCCTGTTTAATTAAAGCCTTGTGACTAGTGTGGAGTATTAGATTAGTCTGAGTGTGTCTTCTAAATGAAAGGCACTCGGCTGTCTATGTAATTGATCATATATCTGCATTACTTCTCCACTTTCACAGATGCAAATACAAGACTTTTTTGAATCTCCTTTGCATACCATAGTATTTTTGCCTCTCAATGGCAAGAGTGCACATTTTGGCTAAATATTATATTTAGATTTTCTTTTAGTTTTTAATATCAGACTTAATATATTGATTATAGTATAACTTGAATTTGCTCAATACAGTTTGGCTTTATAGTCTAAACATTTGGTTGGAGAAAGCACTCTCTGATGTGAAAGTCTGTTTAAGATGGAGATGCAGTGGTTAAGAGATTTAGTCAGGAAGTTGCCAAATGATGTGCAATGTATTATGAAATATTCTGCAGAAGAGGAGGCTATTGTACAAGCTGGAAGACAGGTCAGAATAGTATTGTCCAATTTGCTTTGTCTAATGCTTTAGACCTGGTTTTTACCAGTTTTTTGCTTAATGGTTTATGTAATTACTGGACATATCTTCATGAAACAAAATTGGTACAAAGTTCAATGCCTTCTGTATTGGCATAAGTGAACAAAAGTGCAATTATTTGTTCTCAATAGCTTTAAAAATTGTTGTCATTATTCAACCACAAAGCTGTGACTGATGTCAGTTAAAAGGAGTTAAAGCCATAGATTAATATAGTAAATTTGTGCATTTCTTTCGAAAAACAGTAAATCTCCCATAGTTATATCAGAAGCTGCCCAGCATCTGAAATTTTGATTCAGTCATCAAATTCTAGAAGATGACTTAGACCTGTTAAAGTGTTTTTCACATCTAAGTAATTTAATTTTACATATAATCTAGAATGAAAATAATCTATTGTGAACATAAAAAAGGATTTACATGAGTTCTGTTTCTATTATGTGCACAGACAATTAAGCTAATAGGTTGCATTCATGTGACTTCAAAACACTCACAGTTTTAAAATTCAGCTCGAGGACAGGTCAGAATGCTGTGGTAGAATGAGCTGTTTAACTGTCAGTTTGCTGCCAGGTTTATGCTGAATATCTGTATCTGTATTTACTGGGCTTATCCACACTAACAAAAAAAAATGGCATAAAGTTGAATGTTTTCTTTGTCAGTATTAAGAAAACGAAAGTGAAATCTTTTTGTCACAGTAGCCTCAGAAAGTGGTGTCATTATTCAACCGCAAAGACTTGATTAATGCCAGAGTTGAAAACAGTTAAAGCCCTTTGATTAATATAAATTTGTGAAGCCAATCTCTGTCAAATAAAGATAAGGTTCAACATTTGTGGATTAGAATCTGTAAATCTCCCATAGATTTATTTACCCTTGTTCTCTAGACCGTGTTTTTCACATCTAACCTATTGAATTTCACATATATATATATATATTGTACTTTATTTTAATTATCTAATGCAAACATTAGAAAGGATTTACATTACGACTAATTAGCTTGATTGTATAAGAATATGATTGAGTTGCTGCAGGTGGGATAGTCACTGGGCAATGTACTAAGATAGAATGGAGAGGAAAAAGGCAGCCCACAGACCATGAATAATTAACAAGCGTTGTGCTGACTCTGTAATGCCTCCTGCTCTGAGCACCAAGGCTGAGACGTGAAGAATAGGACCAGGTATAGACCAGACACAAGATGACATACATGTGAATTCTGATTACATCGTTCTTACATGTAGTTTGTGAAGAGGTTGTGCCTTCTCAGGTATACTGTATTGGTTATATAAGGTTGTCAAAAATATCGAAAAACAGATTCTAATCTATTCTAGAACTAGTATTGAAATTAGATTTGAGCAGGAATTGATACCAAAAAAGTCACTTTCACAGGACAGAAATGAACCTTTCCTGAATAGCTTTAGAATGATTTTGTGTTGTATCAGCACAAGTATAAGACCAGACCATAGACTAGTATACTCCCATAAACCACTATGGAACCTACCTGGACCACTGAGTGATTACACAGATATAAAACCACATGGTGATATAATAGAAAGTGCTATGATTTATTTATTTATTTTTAATTCCCATTCAAAATCACTATTGAGTATTGGTGTCGAAATCAAATTCAAAAGTATAGTATTGGACTAATTGGTTTATTACTATAACTAATGCAAATATATCAGAGGTTTATAGTGGGCTAAGTGAATGTGCCAAGCTAAATATGAGATGTTAAAGGTGAACTATGCACACTTTTCTGGTGGAGGGTCTATCATCTGCTTGAGATATTATAGCTTTGTCTGGAATGTTCCCTAGCATGGCATTAGACTAAACTATATATATATGGAGACAGGCCGGTGATGTCAACAGGCCAAGTTACAGATCAGATCCACATTTATGGTAATCTAATGAAAATTGCTAAACCGTAAATCAAATAAAAAATGCAGTTGGTAGTTGCTGAGTAACACCAGTCATATCTCTGGACACTTGGCAGCAATACAATTAGTAGCTGTTTATTATCCATGGGTTTCAGAGTGATGAAAAATTTGCACTGTTGCCATAGTAATTTAACAATACCAAACAAACTATTTCATCTTTTGAATTGTCAAAAAAACTCAAAATGTTGCCTATAAACAGGAACCTGAAAGCTGAATAGAGACAGACCACCCCCTTCAACAATGTGATCATTCCTATACCTTCAAATGTTATAACAATAAAGCAGAAAAAATATGTGCACTGACTCAGACACAATAAAGCTGGATATGAGATGACATCATCGAGATACGGACTGTAAATGCTGTCATGCGTGGACTTGTTTTGGAATTGAAATAATCTCATTGTTTAGTGAAAATAAATGTTTGAATTGTACTTTCAGTCATGACACTACTCTCTATATTCTCCCACACTCATTGTTATTTGCTTGTGGTATTATGACTAATCCTGCCTTTTGTATTCAAGGTACAAGCGAGTATTCTCCGTGGGCACCCATGGCATTACAACTTACAATCCTACAACATTAGAAGTAACAAATCAGGTTAGCCTGTTGTAATGTATTAGATTTAACAGCTATGTAGTTTTCCACTTACCGTCTTTGTGTTTGATGTCTTTTTTTCAGTGGCCTTATGGGGACATCTGCGGCATCTGTCCCGTGGGGAAGGGACAGGGGACAGAGTTCAACCTCACATTCCGAAAAGGCACAAGCAAGAAGTCTGAAACACTCAAGTTCTCCACAGAGCACCGCACAGAGCTGCTCACAGAAGCACTGGTGAGCCGAGCTAACAGCACACATTAGCCAATGCTGTGCAGGGCGACATTCATACAGTGTTTTGGAGCATACTATACAGTCTATTTTATATAATGACAAGCTAATTATTGATATGTAATTGGGTTATTTGGTGCTGTGCCTGTCACAAGTTCTGATTACCTTTTCATTAAATATAGTTAACATAATTATATTTAAGATTTTACTAAGTTTTTGGCCTACTTTTGTCTATTTTTTATTTAATTTCTTGTTGACATACATAGAAGTAATTCCAGTTCTGTTACCTAGCAACCACAATGTTAACAAATGCCAAAACTAATAGATCTAGTAGATTAGGCAAATAAAAATAGAAGACAGTGCCTTCATTTTTGTTAACCAATGCTTAATCTGCCAGAAAAATGCTTTTTACGCACAAATACGCAAGGCCCTGCTCTGTTGGTGACATTAGTAGAGGAATTCTCTTTTAGAACTCTGCTACTTCCTGTGTTTTTGTGCTTTCTTTTCACATTTTTTTCCCTACAAACTGACACTTAACTGATATCAATATTTGTTATACTTATGCCAGTACTATCTCATCAAACAAAAAAAAAAGAACATTTGTCGTATACAGGTCTACAGTTATTCCTTACTTTTCTAATGCAATCATAGCAATTATTAATCGAGTTTATAAGTGCTTTTCACACTTTCAGAGGTCATAGTGGAGTTTGTGGAGTCCCGTTAATGCTAATAACAACTACCATGCTAACAGCGCAGTATTACTCCTGGTTCGCTGACAATAAAAACCTTTTACAATTAGATGACTAATAGCTGCAAAATGGTTCAAGTTTTAATGGCATATGAATAACTTAAATAAAATTGTCTTTTTCAGAGATTCAGAACAGAATTTTCAGAAGGAAAAATAACTGGCAGGGTAAGGGATTTATAAAATTGTATTAACAGTCTAATGATGTATCTTGTAACTTGTGTAATGTTCTTTGCCTTAAATCCCAACAGCGATACAACTGCTACAAACATCATTGGAGTGACACGCGAAAGTCTGTGAATTTAGAAGTAACACCAGGCGGAATTGACCAGATTGATCCTCAGACCAACAGAGTGGTCTGCTCTTATGATTACCGGAATATTGAGGGCTTTGTGGAGGTGTCCGATTACCAAGGAGGGTTCTGCATCCTTCATGGAGGCTTCAGCAGGCTTGTAAGGACTCATATGTCATATATAATCAGTTGTTCATTGATAAGTGCTGTTAACCTTGGTTATATATTGGTTGTCCGCTCTGGTAGCATCTGTTTGCCTCAGAGCACAGAGATGACATCATCCGCAGCGCCATAGAACATGCAGGGAATTTTATTGGCATCACGCTCCGTCTGAGAAAGGAGTCCCTGACCTTTGAAGACTTTCTGACTGACAGACTGGGGAAGTACAGCTCAGACGAGAGCATTACGTCTCTGGCAGAGTTTGTAGTTCAGAAGATCACCCCGCGCCATCCAGTCAGTAACATGTCTACTTATGTTAAACTTAAATTACAAAAAAGTTAGATGTATGATTTTGAATTGTTTTGTTTCCTCAGGAGCCTGTGAAACGTATCTTGGCCCTAACAGAAACATGTTTAGTGGAGAGAGACCCAGCGTCTTATAACATTGTTACAGTTAAACCATTTGGAGAGGTATGCTCCATACACTCTTTACACTCAGTTACTTACACTATGCTCTTTTATCAGTTAAGGTACTCAGATGGATTTCTGCTGTTGTGCAAGTTTACAGGTCTCATTGAGAGTTGATTATTGAATCTTAGAAATCTGCTCTTGTTTCTTGTGATTATGGTCTGAAGATCTTAGTTAGACTTTTATTTTAGATTTGAACACAAACAGAATCTGCTCATACTGTGTTATGCACACTATGTTATAGCAAACATAAGTCTTCAGTAAAGGTTACCTTGAATACTGCCCTCCTGTGTATTTATGACGGTTTCTTCTGTCCTCAGGTATTTGCACTTATTTGCGATGTTGACAACCCTCAGGTTTTTACGGTTGAATTTATCAGAGGACAGATTAGGAGGTTCTCCTCCACAGAAAGGTATGCACTTAATAAAAATATATTCAATACAAATGTATGTGGTTTCTAATGAGAATTCTCATTGTTCTTCAGGGACTCCTTATTAGCTAGCCTGCTTGACGGAGTACGTGCATCAGGCAACAGGGATGTGTGTGTCAAGATGGCCCCCACCCAGCGGGGACAGAGATGGGGGCTCCTGAGCATGCCTGTGGACGAGGAGGTGGAGAGCTTACATCTTAGGTTCCTGGCAGCACCACCCAGTGAGTCAGGGCCCATGGTCTCAATAACTATTATGTGAAGAGTGTCATCTGCATCTAACAAAAATATGTTTGTTTGTTTTTTCAGATGGCAACTTTGCTGATGCTGTGTTTCGCTTCAACGCCAACATATCATACAGTGGAGTTTTACACGCTGTGACACAAGATGTAAGATTCGATTTGATTGTTCCTCTACCCAAATATGTTCTAACGTATGTTGGATGTTCTCCCTCAGGGCCTGTTCTCTGAGAACAAAGAGAAGCTCATAAACAATGCCATCCTAGCCCTTCTGTCCCAAGAGGCGGAGTTACCTGCTGTCAACAGTGAGCTGGAGAGCCACTTCCAGGCCATCCGACGCCTAGTGGCCTCTAAAGCTGGGTTCCAGGCCTTCACACAGCTCCCTAAGTATGAATGCAACTTATTCACCACCACCTCTCATAGCTTATACATTGAATGCAAATGAATGTGAGCTGCTGTTAACCGGCATGCTCTGTCATTCCAAGGTCTGGTCATGGGTCTGGACTCTCAGATGGAACGTAAATATGAATCCATGCAACTCAGTGCACCCTCTGTTTGCTTATTTGGATTGTTCTATTCCTTTTACATCAACCAGGCTCTGTAATGTTTGTTCAAATCCAACTACAAGTCAGTCAAGATTGTCATAGAAAATACTTGGGTTCAAATGATTCAGTTATTTCCCATGGCAGTTCTTGGTCATTTAATGGGATAAATGTTAAGAAATTGAATGGAATCTATTGCAGATATACCTTTATGAACATGCTAAGCCCTTTTGTTGTAGCTAAACAATTTTCTTATTTAATCATGTCAAATTGCATGCACTAATTATAAGGCTTGAGCATCAATTCTTATGCCAAATATAGTTGAGTAGAATGCTCTTCTCCCTCTATTAGAGGGACCTTTTTTTTTCTCAAAACAGAACTGAATCCCCCACCACTAGTAGCCTGGCTGTTGTGAAAAGGACTATTACCTTCTGCTGTGTTTTTCTTTCACCCTGGTTTTCTCAGAGGCATGTAATCTGTATGGCCTTGATCCACTATATCATGATTCAGTTTTCACTTTCTTAGTTCGACATATTATATTACTTCTATTTGTGCTATTTAGTAAACAAGCATAAACATTGTCCTTCATCGGGTCACTGAGATGTATGAGAGGAACTGTATTTACTGTTGATTCTTTACTCCTGAACCCTAGTTAGGATTCCTAAGATTTATTGCTGGGCATTTGGCTGTTTCTCTTAACTACCACAAAATGCCCATAGCTTAAGATGGTTTAAATCATTTTGCTGCTAGAGCCAAATGTTACCTTTAGTTTTCTGTAGTTTAATGTTGCTGTTGTTGGTGAGCAAAAGAAACAAAAGTCCCTTCAGTAGCAATAAGTCACTGCATTAAGTCCCAGGCCTCTGAAGACAATTTCCCAGTTATGTGTTGTTGAAGTGGTACTGTATGTATAGCAGCCTTTTAAATGTATGCATGTTTTCAGATTTAGGGAAAAACTGGGAGTGAAGACAGTAAAAGCTTTAAAAAGGAACAACAATGGTGTGACCCATGCTGCTATTGACATGCTCTGTGCACTTATGTGTGTAAGTATGATTTAATGAGTGCACAAATGGTATATAGAGCTGATTAACCCTACACGGTGTGATGACTCTGTCACTTATCACTTCAGCCAATGCATGACGACTATGATCTGAGGCAAGAACAGTTAAACAAAGCTTCCCTCCTGTCCTCAAAGAAGTTCCTGGAAAATCTTCTGGAAAAATTCATCACTAATGTGGTACATCTGAAACTAAATATGAATTATCTTATAATGCTTTTGAATTTCAGTTGCTCATCTTGTGCAATATGCTGTATACAGTTAGACATAGGCTGATGTGTCTTGTTTTCTAGGACCATGGAACAGGAGCTTTGGTCATCAGCTCTTTACTTGACTTCCTGACCTTTGCCCTCTGCGCACCGTACAGTGAAACCACTGAAGGACAGCAATTTGACATGCTGCTTGAGATGGTCGCCTCCAATGGACGCACTTTATTTAAACTTTTTCAGGTGCAAAGTTTGAAACATGTCCTAATGTCATTTAGTATTACTTGTTGTGTATACTGATGTGTACTTGTCATCTCTAGCACCCCTCTATGGCCATAGTGAAAGGAGCAGGCCTGGTGATGAAGGCCATTATTGAGGTAGGTCTGCCTATAATAGACCCTCAGATAGACCTGGTACATCCATGTTACACACGTGTCTTTGTTTTTATGATGCAGGAGGGGGACAAAGAAATTGCTACAAAGATGCAGGAGCTGGCCCTAAGTGAAGGAGCTCTGCCCAGACATTTGCACACGTCACTGTTTACTGTCAGCACTGACCAGAGAATGCTTACAAACAGGTCAAATGTCTTGTAGTAGTCCCTGAGAAGTAGAATAACTGTAAGAAATTTAGTTTTGAGTAAACAGCCAAACATGTTCTGCTGTGACTTATTAGTTTCCTTTTTCGTCCTTTCCAACAAATGACTGTGTTTTTCCCTTCAGGCAGCTGAGTCGTCATTTAGTTGGTTTGTGGACAGCGGAAAACCCTGTTGCAATGAACCTGTTGAAAAGAATACTTGTAAGTCTTATCAATGTTAATACCACTGCCTTTATGTTATATAAACGATTTTGTTCACAAATTTCAGTAGTGACTAATGATCTAAAACCTTTTCATATAAATGAGGCCACACTACTGGACATGAGCTAGTCTTATTTTTATTTGAGCTTCTCTTTTGCTTTCTTTCTTCCAGCCAACAGGGTTACTGGCTTATCTTGACAGTGCCGACACTGTTCCAGAAAAAGATGTTGATAGAATGCACATTCGAGACAACTTGAAACTTGCCACGGTATTCTACTATAAGTTATTCAATGGTTAACTTTGTTAACTTTTACTTTACAGAAAAATATATTCTTTTTTATCGTAGGACCAGCTAAATCGTAACAAGGTGCCTGAATGGCAGCGGATAGCAGGAAAAGCAGCCAAAGAGGTAGAAAAGTTTGCCAAGGAGAAGGCAGATCTAGTGCTGATGCACTGGAGAGATAAGATGGGCATCGCTCAGAAGGAGGTGAGGCATATGTGTTTTATATTGCTGCTTCTGCATCAGGTGCTGAACTGCTCAAAATCATAAAATTATTGAACTGTTGCATGCTTGATTAAAAAAAAGCTTTTTGTTACGTTATTTTACGGCTGTATTTAATGTTTGTATAATGTTCTTAACCAAATGTTGGGAACTGTTTCTGTTCTTTCTGCTATTTCTGCCTTACCAAAGTAGTCATTGAACTAACTATACTTAGTTACTATTGGACATTACTAGACATCCTTAATGCTTTCCATGCTTGGCTACGCTTATAATTAATATTTGAGATCATTTGCAACAAAGCCCCCCTGATTGTGCCCATTGCCTTCATGCTCATTGCTGGCTTACCGCTGTATTTTAACAAGCTATAAATTGTAAAGACAATCAGTAATGTACACCCACCTTTGTACCAGCTGTGTTTTGTTGCAATTCATCTGTTTTATCAAAGAAACGATAATCTCTGTGTTGTCTCTGCCTCATCCCCTCATTGTGTTTTTCTCTTGTCAAAATATGCAGCAGGACAGAAATAACTTGGTAAGTAGGAGCGGCCAATGGGATCTAGTGTTTAAAGCATTCTTCTGTCCATCAGGCATTCTCCATCTGTTTGTGCTGAAGTGGGTGTGTTTTGAGTTTGCATTATGGAAACCACAGTTTAAATCTGTCTAACCTTTAAAGTGACAGTAATGCTGGCAATAGTTTTTCTACCCACAAGGACTTCCTAGTTTATATTAGCCAAGTTACTACATACTAGTTATTTTTATTTACAGATCGTAAGTCCAGAAGTGGTCGTGAATAGTCATAATTTTTCCATAAAATGTCAAATCGGGCAATGACAAATACCAATTATGCAGTCAATTGTGCTGTTAAAAATGGCTATTTTTCAGCTGCAGAAGGATTGTGTTTCCATAACGACAAAAACAGAATGTACACATTTTTGGGATCCCATTCTGTTTCTTTTTTGGTTCAAAGATGACAATATTTAAATGTATGTTTGTCTTTTCTTCACTTTTAACCTTTCAAATGGCATTTTCACATGTTTCACCTCTGGTCTGCATAAGCTTTTTATGTTCTTACCATTTCAACTTCCTTCCGTTAAAAACGTGACTGCATATGAACAATATTTTTGTGTAGGTTGTAAAATTTTACTTTATTTAATTCTATATTTTTATTACAGAATCCCAACCAGAAACCAGTGATCTTAAGGAAGAGAAGACAGCGGATAAAAATCGAATCAAACTGGGAGCTGTTTTACTACAGGTACTGCTTTTGTTTGATATACATACATACTTGACGTAATGTAATCCAAAAATAGTTGTTTTTTATTTAATCGTCTAACAATGATAAATTTTGACTTTCACTTGGCCTTATTTCTAATGTCTGTTTAGATTTCAACTTGACCATGCACGCTCTAACCTCATCTGGAACCTTAAGACCCGGGAGGAGCTGCGGGAGGCTCTGGAGGGGGAGATGCGAGCGTTTGGCGTGGACCGGGAGCTTGGCAGTGCCACTGTCATTTCCTGGAACCACCAGGAGTTTGAGGTGCTGCTACTATGAGTCAGATTATAGTCTTGAAATAACCAGACAGAACGATAATAAACAAAGTTCTTGTATTATATGTTTAGGTAAAATATGACTGCCTTTCGGACGAGATCAAGATCGGTGATTACTACCTGCGACTGCTTTTGGAGGAAGATGAAAATGAGGAGACGAGTGCCATCAAGAGATCGTAAGTGTAGCTAAAGTTGTATCAGTGTTTCAGTGTATCTTTATATTCTAACAAGATTCTTCCTCTTTTGTAGATATGAGTTCTTCAATGAGCTTTACCATCGCTTTCTGCTCACGCCCAAAGTCACCATGAAGTGCCTATGCCTGCAGGCTCTTGCAATAGTCTATGGAAAATGCTATGAAGAGATTGGTCCATTCACTGACACTAAATATATTGTGGGGATGCTGGATCGAGTGAGTATTACAGCCTAATAGAAGTGCAGCTCTGGACATCAATATTTATTCACTTGTGTTGTGCAGTGTACTGACAAACTGGAAAGAGATAGACTCATCCTCTTTCTCAACAAGCTTATTCTGAACAAGGTAGGTCTGTCAAACATCACAGTTAACACTGGGTCAAATAGTTTTTTGGTGTAAAAATGTAAATCATGTATTTTTTTAGAAAAATGTGAAAGAGGTAATGGACTCAAATGGAGTGCGCATTTTGGTGGATCTGCTGACTCTGGCCCATCTCCACACCAGTCGAGCAACCGTCCCCCTGCAGGTATGAGATATCATTTTTTTTACTCTACAATATCAATAATATTGTTGGGGAAATTATGATCCTTGTTTTGCCTCATTATTAAGTGATCACTGTGAATTATTGCAGAGTAATGTTCTGGAAGCTTCACCCGACATGAGAAGGGACAGTGAAAAAGAGTGGTACTTTGGTAATGCTGACAAAGAACGAAGAGGACCTTTTGGTTTTGAAGAGGTAAATCAAAAAAGATGGTTCTTGTTTACTGTTTTGTTATAAACTAAGCTCATTCCACTCTTCACTATTCAGATGCATGAGTTTTGGAACACAGGTGTCCTGACTGCAAAAACTCGCTGCTGGGCCCAGGGGATGGATGGGTGGCGCCCTCTGCAGGCCATCCCACAGCTGAAGTGGTGTTTGCTGGCCAGCGGACAGGCTGTGATGAATGAGTCTGATCTGGCCACACTCATCCTGAACATGCTCATAACCATGTGCTCCTACTACCCCAGCAGGTCAAACTAGGATCAGTACTATGGCGAAATCTATATAGAGGACTTTGCTTATAATGTTTGGGTTTTTTTGTTTGTTTTTATCTTACTGTGTGTTTGTTCCACAGAGACCAAGATAATGCAATTATTCGGCCCTTGCCAAAAATTAAGAGGTTGATTAGTGACAATGCCTGTTTACCCCACATTGTGCAGGTATTTTTTGTTACATTAATGTAATACAAATAACCTTCACCAACACGTGCACACTTACGCTGACCTCTTTGCCCTTTATTCTCTAGCTTTTGTTGACCTTTGACCCAATTTTGGTGGAGAAAGTTGCCAATGTCCTGTATCTGGTGATGCAGGACAATCCCAATCTGCAGCGTCTCTATTTGACTGGAATTTTCTTCTTTATTATGATGTATACAGGCTCAAATGTTCTGCCAGTTGCAAGGTACTACCATAATAATATAGAAATGACCTTAAAGTTTCAAAGTTTGCTAACAAATCTGTAAACAGAATTGCAATAGCGTATAATGTTTTCTTACTTTTATAGATTCCTGAAATATACCCACCTGAAGCAAGCCTTCAGATCAGAGGAGGTAGAGACTGATTTGACCAGTGTGTTGCATAAATGTTTATTTGCATAAAATTACTATGGTAAATATTTTCTTAGGCTAAAGGTCAGGATATAGTTCAGCGCAGTGTGCTGGGCTCCATCCTTCCCGAAGCCATGGTTTGCTACCTGGAAAATTATGAGGCTGAGCGCTTCTCTGAGATCTTTCTTGGAGAGTTTGATACTCCTGAGGCCATTTGGAGCAGTGAGATGAGGTATAGTAAAATAGATTCCATAATTCACATAAGAGCTATTGTATTTGAATGTTACTGTATGTAATGTTATTGAATGTGTTACATGGTAAATGTTGTTCTTTTTTTCAGGCGTATGATGATAGAGAAGATTGCTGCTCACGTGGCTGACTTCAGTCCCAGGCTGCAGAGCAACACTCGGGCCCTGTACCAGTATTGTCCTATTCCAGTCATCAGCTTCCCTCAGCTGGACAATGAGCTGTTCTGTAACATCTACTACCTCAGACATCTGTGTGACACAACCCGCTTCCCCAACTGGCCTATTCGTGATGCTGTATGTTTAGTTTCATAAAACAATATGAATGTGCTTGAACCCATTCATAAGTGTTGTTGTCTTAAATATTCAGGTGAAACTGCTTAAAGATACACTTGAAGCCTGGAAGAAAGAAGTGGAGAAAAAACCTCCCTCCATGTCTGTAGATGATGCATATGAGGTCCTCAATCTCCCCAAAGGACAGGGACAGTAAGTGTCTCTCTGTGTCTAGTGCTTCCACAGAATACATCTTAATGCATACATTACATTTGAACAATGACATTTTCCATCTGTAGGCATGAGGAGAGTAAAATCAGGAAAGCCTACTTCAGATTGGCACAGAAATACCATCCAGATAAGAACCCAGAGGGAAGGGTATGTCAAGATTTGACCAGAAGTCTTCTGGTAAACAAAGGCAAACTTATTTGAGCCCTGTGAAATTGTTATTTCAGGACATGTTCGAGAAAGTTAACAAAGCTTATGAGTTCCTTTGTACAAAATCTGCACGAGTGATTGATGGACCGGACCCAGAAAACATCATTCTCATCCTGAAAACGCAGAGCATCCTTTTCAATCACCACAAACAAGGTTTTTCTCTTACTCTGTTTCTACAATTTTTTATTTTATTTTTCATCTTGAAATTAAAACTAAACATACATTAATATAATAACCATATCTTATGCCAACAGAACTGGAGCCTTATAAATATGCAGGTTACCCCATGCTTATTAAAACCATCAAAATGGAGACTGATGATGATCAGCTCTTCTCTAAGACCTCACCTCTGCTCCCGGCCGCAGCTGAACTGGCCTTTCACACGGTCAACTGTTCAGCACTGAATGCAGAGGAGCTAAGGCGTGAGAACGGCATTGAGGTATGTTAAAACATTGTTTTTCATTATGCATTTGGTGTAAATAATTTGACCTATTATTATCACCATGAAACAGATTTTATTAGAAGCTTTGTCCCGTTGTGTTGCTGTACTGACAGCGTCAAGCAAACCTGATGACATGGCTGTGCAGGTACTTTGATTTTGTTCAGCCTTTAATCGGTGCACATGTGCAGTACTAAACAAAATTCTGTTGTTTAGGTGTGCGGGCACATCTGTAAGTGCTACAGTGTAGCAGCTCAGTTTGAAGAGTGCAGGGAAAAGATCATTGAACAACCCAACATCATCAGAGACATCTGCCACATCCTCTACCATGGGAAGGCAAGTGGTCCATTTTTACATTTGGCTTTTATGATGATTATCTATCAGTTTCTTCCGCTTTATCCGGGGCCGGTCCACGGAGGCAACAGTCTGAGCAGAGAGGCCCAAACTTCCCTTTCCATACACACCGATATAAAATACTTGTTTTTTCCCTCCTTTTAGGGTCTTCCCAAAACAGCCACCTTGGCAGTCCAGTGTGTCAGCTCTTTTGCAGTGGACTTCTTCCTACAGACGCATCTGTACCATGCAGGTGTGCTTTGGCATCTGTTGGTTAATCTCTTCAACTATGACTACACTCTGGAGGAGAGCGGAGTACAGGCCAGTCAGGACACAAACCAACAGGAAGTAGCCAACAGCCTGGCCAAGCTCAGCCTGATCGCACTGAGCCGCCTGGGAGGCTATAACCCCGCAGCCCACAGCCCAGACGGGAACAGCCCTGTCCCAGAGACCAATGGCATAGAGGGCACACCACCAGAAAACCCAACCATACGCAAGAGTTTAGCTGCTATGCTCACACCGTATATCTCCCGGAAGCTGGGGACAGGCACTGCCGCTGAGGTGAGTGGTGGAGAGAAGAAAGCAACTTTTGTAATTAAGCAATTTACAATGCATTAATGAAACTTTTTGTATTACGCTGTTTTTTTAGGTCTTAAAACTACTTAATAGTAACTCAGAAAACCCCTACCTGATTTGGAACAATTGCACACGAGCTGAACTGATGGAGTTTCTGGAGTCTCAGCAGGAGGGGAACATCAAGAGGGTAATAATACTCATGCTTCAGAAACCTGTCTAGTACTACATTTCTACTGTTGTATTGATAACTTTGTCCTTGATGTTTTTAAAGGGAGAAAATGATAAACACTTTGGTGCAGACTTTGTCTTTGGTGACCACAGTAAAGAGCTGATAGTGGGGGAGATTTTTGTGCGGGTTTACAATGAACAACCAACATTCCCTCTTGAAGTGAGTAGAGGAAACCAAAACTCAACACAATCATCATTGTTTATTTTGAAACTTTTCAATTCTTGTCTTCTAGTACCCTAAAGCCTTTGCAGCCAGTCTCTTGGACTATGTGGGCTCTCAAGCCCAGTATCTGCACACTCTATTAGCCATGAGCCAGAGCAACAAAGTTGAGTCCCAGCAGCACGCTGAGAGGCTACGCTTTGCTGAAATGGCCTTAGAGGCTCTCCGCAATGTCATCAAGAACAACCCAGGTGAGACAGAAAAAGGGGGCACATATTTGTTGGCTCTTATTTAACAATGTAATTTTTTTCCCTCACCGTAGGATCAGAAACCGAATGCATTGGGCATTTCAAACTGCTCTTCTCTCTGCTGCGAGTTCATGGAGCTGGCAGGGTCCAGCAGCTTGTTTTGGAGGTATGTTTTTGATTTATTCTTAATGTCATTGTTGAACTTATAACACTTGGCAAATGGAACTGGTTCTTTCTTGTCTAGGTTGTAAATACAGTAACTTCAAATCAAGAATGTGTGACCAACATTGCTGAGTCTCTCGTATTGTCCAATCTTCTATTGCTGCTACACTCATTACCTTCCAGTGAGATTTCAAACTCTGTAAAATTACAGTTAATGAAACAGTACGACATATAATGTCCATTTCTCTCTAACTTATAGGCAGGCAAATGGTGCTGGAAACTCTTTATGCACTTACTTCAAACACAAAGATTGTCAAAGAGGCTATGGCCAAAGGTGAGTATAGTTTGCTCTACTTTTTAACATGACAATGATGTGCACTTGCATTGTATGCTTATTGTGTCTATTATGTTTATATGCCAGGTGCTTTGATCTACCTGTTAGATCTCTTCTGTAACTGCACTCACCCCCAGGTCCGCACACAAACAGCGGAATTATTCTCCAAGATGACCTCAGACAAGCTTGTCGGGCCTAAAGTGCGTGAAAAAAAAATCTAGAAATGCATACATTTATTTTACCAAATATCTTCTCTAAATATTGTTTCACATGCAGGTTCGTCTAACCCTGATGCGCTTCCTCCCTGGCGTCTTCATGGATGCTATGCGGGACAATGCAGAGGCTGCGGTGCACATATTTGAGGGGACACATGAGAACCCTGAGCTCATCTGGAATGACAGCTCCAGGGAGACTGTGTCCACCACTGTCAGAGAAATGATGCTTGAGTAAGACGGCATTCATTCTCTACTAAGTATTTACACCAACATTTACATAGTTCTTATTCAATAATACGAGTCCCCTACCGCACCTAATCTGTGTTACGTGTGCATCTGGCATGAGTCCTTCAAAAATACAAGAAAAAAAACAAGCAAACAAGCATATTTTTCCTTTTTTTACAGACACTTTAAACAGCAAAAGGACAACCCTGATGTGAACTGGAGAGTAAGTGAAAGCCATTATTATACTTACCACACAATAAGTTGTTTTAACAACTGTAATCCTAATCTCTTTTCTTTTATTTTCTGTAGTTGCCAGAGGATTTCACTGTTGCATATGGGGCAGGACAGGGAGAACTTGAGGTTGGTGGAGTGTTCCTGCGTATCTTTATAGCTCAGCCGGGCTGGGTCTTACGTAAGCCTCGCGAGTTCCTGGTGTCCCTCTTGGAGACTCTGACAGAGCTGCTGGAGAAAAATAACCCAAATGTAAGTTTCTCATAATAGCACTATTTATCATAACTGACATTTGTTTACTTGACTTCACATTTCATTTTATTTCATAGGGTGAAGCATTGGAGACCGTCACCACAGCAGCAGTTTGCCTTTTTAGTACTCAGACCCAGTTGGCGGATCAGGTGCCTCCACTGGGCCACCTCCCTCGCATCCTGGCTGCACTGAAGCACAAGAACAATGCGGTGCCCAAAAGCTCCATCCGCCTTATTCATGTGTTATCAGACAATGAGGTGAGAATGAAAGAGCTGTCTTGATAAGTCTTTTTGGAGTGGCACACATGACAACTTTCTCAATTGTTTCTGCAGCTCTGTGTACGTTCTATGTCAGCCCTGGAGACTATTGGACCCTTAATGGCTGGTATGAAGTCCAGAGCCGATATGGCTGGGTTGGCATGTGAAGCTCTCAATCGCATGTTTCAGAAAGAACAAACTGAACTTGTGGCACAGGTAAAAAAAGATTTGGCTGTTAAAGATTTAAGCATTTCTGGATTATTGATGAGTGTTGTGACTTAGGCTCTACGAGTAGACTTGGTGCCATACCTTTTGAAATTGTTGGAAGGAATTGGTCTGGAGACATTAGATAACCCTTCAGCGACTAAGGCACAGATTGTAAAGGCGCTTAAGTCCATGACCCGTAGTCTGCAGTATGGAGAGCAGGTAGAAAAACTATCTCCAACATGAGTAAGTGTAGGATTTCTGTTCTGACAAATAATTCATACAAACTTTTACAGGTTAACGAAATTCTTGCAAAGTCCTCGGTCTGGAGTGCTTTCAAAGACCAGAAACACGATCTCTTCATCTCAGATTCTCAAACTGCTGGATACCTGACAGGTATAATAACATTTCTGTTATTGTGTGATACTTGGATTACTGTAAAATATTAAGGTAAAGGTAAGTCCCAGCAGGTTTACCTATCTAAGCCTTTACTAAAGCCTTACCTTTGCCTTTTCCTTAAATCACCTTGTGGCCCACACCTCACTTGTGCTTAATCTTAGTTCTCAACTTGTTCTGTAACCTCCTGACTCTGCTGTCTCCTCCTCCTTGTCCTCCACCTCTCCTCCTCCTCAGGGGTGTCTACTCCTTCTCTCCTGGCTGCCAGCAGCCCACTGCGGGGTGGTCTCTAGACTCCTCCACTGGGCTCATTGCCCACCTCTGTCTTGCTTTAATGCAGGTAGACATCAACCACAATCTAACTGCCATTCATTTCCATATTCCAGTTGCTTCTCATCTGTCAGTGTAATCATCATTTATGTATTTCTCTATATTTATTTTTTATCATATAGATAACAGTAACATTTAACTTTAAAATGGTCTATTTTTAGTACAATTGATACTATACTAAATTTCATCTATAGTATGTTTCCCCATTCAACTATATCATTCCTACATCATCCCGTCATCCATGTCCATACGTGTTTTGTTTCAATGTCTGTGAAGCCGCTTACGTATCTTTCGCATCCCTCAGGTCCTGGAGTAGCAGGCTATCTCACAGCTGGCACTGGCTCTACAGTTATGTCCAGCGTTCCTCCCCCTGTGGACCACGACATAGCAGACCAAGGCTGATGGACACGTCCCAGTGGAACACACTCAGGCACCGGACTGCCTCCCCGCCAAAGCTCCAGGGACCGAGGACCCCACCATGAGGAGGTGGAGACAGAACCAGAGGAGAGCAGGACTTGGACTACTGTGACAACCTCCTCTGCTGTCCCACTCCTCTCAGCCTTTCCAAATGGCACTCATGTCTTCAAAACAAATCCTTTTAACAGTTGTTCTTGTTTAATTTGATTTTCTTGTTTATCCCAATGACACACAAAAGAGTTTACTTTTTTGTATCAATATATTTTTTACTCTAGATTCTTTTTCCATTAAAACACATTTTGGGAGAGTAAATGATCATTGGCCAATCACTCTCCTAACTGTGTGAACTTGGCCTCACATCTGTGTATCGGACCTATTTGCCAACAGTATAAATAGTCTAGAAAATTGAATGGAAGGTGAAGAATAAAATGTGCCCTGCTCTTCTAAGGACTTTGAACCCTTGGTTGTGTGGCTCATGTGTAGGGTCAGTCCACCAAATAGCTTTTTTAATTAAACCATTCTCTGCTCTCTTTAAAGGCTATCTACCTGCCTCAATTTTAAAATAACTTTCCTCTCCCGAATGCAGAAAGCACTAGAATATTTAAGTGATTAATAATAACAATTTATCAACGGAAATGCTTCTGCTGATACAGGACAAATGATGTTGAATCCATGTGAAAGACTAGTGCAATTTGTGTTCAATGTAATATTGCTTATATATACTTTCTATATGAATGTACATTAAAAATAAATCAAACACACCTGTACATAAAATTTTAAGAATAAAAGGGAACTCACAGTGTTGTTATTTGGATTTTTTGTATCTGCATGATTATTCATCATAGTGTAAAGAGTGTAGTTCACTATTTGAGCCCAAGTAAAGGGACAGCAAGTATTAATGAACACTTAATACGTAAAGATTTTTACTCACGTGGCTAATTTCCATTTTCAGTCCCTCTGCAAGTTAATGTCAGTCTGCAGGACAGGGAAAGAAGAGCAACAATCACACAGCACACTCACAATACATGCATCATTAGAACAGGTCATTTGAAATTACAAGTTAAAGCCTTCAATAATAAATTGTCGTTACACATGGTGACATGTTTGATCCTCCAACAGCCACTGTTTTCAAACTTCTGAGTCTACTGGCATTGTCTAGATAACAATGTCAGCTATGTTGATTTATAAGTAAAATAATGTCAGATAGAAATACAATGGTGTACTGTTTGGTCTAATATGTTCAAATATTGATGCCATTAGAGAGAGAAAAATAATCACATTTCTATTTGAACCGGAAAAAATGCGCTCATGAGTAAAGTGGATGGCCGCGTTTTCTACACGACCACATTTCCCCGATACACCGGAAGTTGGTGTTGGCGCGAATAACAATAACAATCTGTCGCTACATTTGTTAGGTTTTTACACCATTTCAACATGTTTATTCAACGTTTTAACTTTTTAGAGTCATGTAAACTATTAGAATAGACATTTCGCTACACTTGGACTCCTTTACAATATTTAAAACGTGATGTAAATGTAACTTTTCTTGGCCAATTTGTTGACCCGGCTGCTAAAGTGCTGATGAAGGAGTGAGAGCTGGACTAATAGAATGACTGGACAGGCACAGATTCTTTACAGGCATATAGCCCCAAAGGTGGTCCAATAAGTTTTACTTTTAGCTTATGAATGTCATATAAAGAAGGTATGGTATTTTCTTATTTCAGACAATAGAAATCTGCGAGCCACTGATGATTAATTTTGCGTCGTGTGATGTATTAGGAGAGCCATGTCCAAGTCAAACGGTGAATCCTTCATCGTGAAATTTGTGGAGAGTAATGGAGTAAAGACTGAGTTTGCTGCTAAGGCCTATGAGGTAAGAGCATCTATGACAGGAACCAGACAGATCGTGAAGCGTCAGCCACTGATGTTTGGATTATTTTATGTTTCAGGCCATTTTAGAACTACAGTCTGAGAAGCACTTGAAAATCATTGATGAAAATGAAGTTTTTCAGATGGACCAGAAGGACAAGTCTTTATTTGTCTTCAGCAGTTTCTCCTCTCCTGCATTTCTACACTGCAAAAGGGTATGTATGTCTTCCATCTTTAACCCAGTGTAATGCCTTCATTGACAAGCCTCAGCACTGTCTGTCATTATGTAGTTGGGTTGCCGAGTAGTGAGTCCGTTGGTGGTGCTGTACTGCCTGCAGCAGCAGCGCTGTGTCCCAAAAGCAGAGATGCCTGTCTACAACATGGCCATGGCAGATGTCACTATTTCATGCACCAGCCTGGAAAAGGCAACACGGGTAGGTTGATGATTGATTGATGTATTGTTCATTTTACATCACTATATGGCAAATGACAAATGGTTTATTTCAGATTCTTTTTTTATACATGCTTAACTGTTCAGGCTTCTTCTTTTGCTCAACAGAAAGAGGTTATGGAATTAGTACAGCTCATGGGTGGACGCGTGTACCTTGACTTGAATGTCTCTGTGACACATCTCATCGCAGGAGAAGTGGGGTCTAAAAAGTACCTGGTAGCTGCAAGCCTCGGAAAACCCATCCTTTTGCCCAAGTGGGTTAAAGCCTGCTGGGAGAAGTCACAGGACAGGTCTCTACATTCACTACATGTGTTCTTGTTCTGTCCGTGCTTTCTGACTAACTTAATGTGTTCAGTCTCTTCAGGTACACAGACCTGCCCACAGAGGAGTACTTGTGCCCAGTACTGCAGGGCTGTACTGTGTGTGTCACAGGCCTCTCCAGCACCGAGCGTAAAGAAGTACAGCGTCTGTGTGAGCAGCACGGGGCCACCTACACGGGCCAGCTCAAGATGAATGAGTGCACCCACCTCATCGTCAGCGAACCATCAGGTAGGATCCATTACAATGAGGCATTACTTTTCCTCCAATATTTTTCTCAACTGAACTTTCTGTGTTTTTAGGTCAGAAATATGAGTGTGCGAGGAAATGGAATGTGTATTGCGTATCCCTCCACTGGTTATTTGACAGCATAGAGAAAGGCTTTTGTCAAGATGAGAGCCGATACACGGTGGAACGCAACGCAGCAAAGAGCACGCGCCCACACACTTCAACTCCTACAGGCAGCAACAAGAAATCAGGTTAGCCAGTCTCCACATATTCACTAATGTAACTATTAAAGGGCCCATATTAGGCTATTTTACGCTGTTATAATGTTTCTTCATCAAAAATATACCTGGAGTTGTGTTTTGTTCACATATATTTAACACAGAAACTTACATATTAGGACTGAGTTCTTCTCTCAGACAGAAAACACTGTTCCACATTGTGATGTAATTTGGTAATATAGGAAGTACTCTACTATGTCTCCACTCCATACACCTTCATTAGAATCATTTGTATAATTTCAACCCATCTCTATTGGAAGAAAGGTAAAAGGTAGCTGTTAACTTTAAACCTACTGCTTCATGACATCATGACATGAGGTGGAAAAGAGAATTTTGAGCATTGGAGATGTAGACAGACAGAAAGAGTTACTCAAACCAATTACCAACTCAAACCAAATACAACTCTGCATATGTTTTTGATAAGGTAACAACATTCTATCATGGCTTAAAGCTTTTAGGAGTTATTTTGCGTAATATAGGGCCTTTAAAAAATGTTTTTGGTCAAAAGGACTGTTTTTCTTATCCAGACGGTCCGTCGCTGCTCGGGCTGAGTCATATCTCAGTCAACGCGAGCGTGACCATAAATGACACTGCCCTCACAAATGTGACAAACGGGACCATGAGTCGTGTGGATGCTCCAGACCCTATCGACAGCTTTGACATCAGTGTGTGTCGGACTGATGATATACTGGATGGCTGTAAGGTAGATGAATTTTGAATTGATTCAAAATGACTTTTCTTTTCAATTAAGCCCAATATCTTAGACGGACACACTATACCAGGTATTACTGTGACAACACACACTTAATTATCAGCAGCATTCTGTCTTTGGTAACTCTCTCACAGCAACAATGATTTGCTGTTAGCTATCAATGCTAATATACTACATGAAATTGTTGTCACTACCAGCGTTTACATAGTGACATTGAGATTAAAGTAATGACACAAGCCATAAACTATTTACTTGTTAAAAAAAAAACTTTTATAAGGGATATAAACATTTCACTCTCATTTTCAAATTGAAAGACAGTCTTTTTTTTTAAGTGTATTAATTTCTTTTCTTTCTTTTTTAGCTATATCTGTGTGGTCTGCCTGGAAAGAAACTAGAAAAACTGCGTCGTCTTGTGAACTCTGCTGGAGGTCTACGGTTCAACCAGCCCAGCGAGGAGCTCACACATGTGGTCATGGGAGAGCTGGACATCGACCTGAAGAGTTTTGTCTCCAAAACCTCTCACAGGTCTGGGGTTAGCTTTAGGGAGATCACCGGGGTATATAATGTGTGACTGATGTAAACATGATTGCTTCTTCACAGGCCCCATGTTGTAACAGTGGAATGGTTGCTGGATAGTTTAACTAAAGGTAGTCTGCTCCCAGAGACAGACTACATGCACCCTGAATGCCTCCCCCCTGCTCCTCCTGCTGTCAAACACCTCACCCCTCCATCACGGCGACTCTCTCTAGCACCACCTATGACCAGTCCTGCCACTCCCCAACAGAAGAGGGCAGAAGAGGACCTGTTGTCACAGTATATGGATGATGATCCTACTGTAGGTACGTCTCATAGCCTGATTGACCACCATAACAGTACAGTCCCTGACAAAAGTCTTGTTGCTTATCCATTTTGTAGAAACAAAAGCTTATAACCTGACTTTAAATTAATCGATTGGTTTTAGAAATGTCTCATATGAAAGCTAAAACCCTCCCAAATTATGCTCAATATACTAAAATAAAGAAGAAAGATTGATCATTTAATGAACACAGAAAGGTCAGATTTTGGCAAGACAAAAGTTTTGTCGCCTACAGAAAATTGAACAAATAATTTACTTCAAATACAAAAATATGTTGCATAACGTCAGTGAATTAAGTAGTGGTGCTGTGAGATCCATATTTAATATCTTGTATGACTTCCATGAGCTTGAAGGACTGCATCCATGTGGTTCGACAATGATTCATACAATTTGTTGATGAAGTCATCAGGTATAGCAAAGAAAGCAGTCTTACATGCCTCCCAGAGTTCATCAAGATTCTTTGGTTTTGCCTTCCATGCTTCCTCTTTCATTCTACCCCAGACATGCTCAGTGATGTTCATGTCTGGTGACTGGGCTGGCCAGTCCTGGAGCACCTTGATCTTCTTCGCCTTGAGAAACTTTGATGTAGAGATAGAAGTATGTGATGGAGCACCATCCTGCTGCAAAATTTGTTCCCTTTTATGGTTGGGAATGTAAGAGGTAGCTAATACTTCTTGATATTTTAGGCTATTGCCTTCCACCCTGCAAATGTCCCGCACACCCCCATACTGGATGTAAACCCAGACCATGATTTTTCTGCCACCAAACTTAACTGTTTTCTGGGTGAATCTTGGATCCATGCAGGCTTCAGTGGGTCTCCTGCAATATTTGCGGCGGCTGTGATGTAATTCAACCGAGGATTCATCTGAGAAATCCACCTTCTGCCACTTTTCCAGTGTCCATCCTTTTAGCAGGCTGTGGGCCTTGGCAAATGCCACACTGTTTTTTTATTGCCTTTTGTTTAGTGCTGGTTTCTGTGCACTGATTCGACCATGGAGGCCATTTCGAGACAGAATTCAACAAACTGTTCTGGTTGACACAGGGACTTGAGGTGACCAGGCCTGGTGGAGCTCTGCTGCAGTGGAAAAGCGGCTGACCTTGGATTTTCGAATCAACAAACAGTCCTCCCGAGCAGTTGTCTTGCGGGGTCTGCCGGGCCTGGGCTTGTCAAAAACATCTGCAGTCATTTCAGATCTTTTTCTTATTCTTTGTACTTGACGCTGAGACACATTAAAGCCACCTCAGCATTGGATCTGGTCTTATTAATTAACGCTTTGGTCTCAGGGTGGATCTTAGGCATGTTGTCAGAGGTCAAATTGCAGTTGATGTGAAGGTCTGGTGTGCTGGGGTTCTTTTTATACACACCCACTAACTGATTGATCAGTAACTGATCACAGGTGAGGCTGTAATCTAGGATTGGGTGCATCATATGACAAGGTGACAAGACTTTTGTCTTGCCAAAATCTGACCTTTCTGTGTTCATTAAATGATCAATCTTTCTTCTTTATTTTAGTATATTGAGCATAATTTGGGAGGGTTTTAGCTTTCATATGAGACATTTCTAAAACCATTCGATTAATTTAAAGTCAGGTTATAAGCTTTTGTTTCTACAAAATGGATAAGCGACAAGACTTTTGTCAGGGACTGTATATTGGCTCTAGTCTTTGTATGAGTTAAGAATAGCAAACTACTGTTGAATGCAATGTGAGAGACACATTTGTGAAGAGTAGACCATATGATTCCATAAACCCCAAAACAATGCGCTAACTTTTGTGGTAGAGGGTCTGCCACTTGCTTGTATCTATGTTATTGTTTTGTCTGGAGTGTTCCATAGTATGAAACTACACATAACTATCTCCATGGACATGAGCAGGTGACAAGTTACAGGCCAAATCTCTGTACATGTGACCTATCTTATAATAAGAATGTATGTTTGTGGTAATACACTTACCTGCAATTGAATAAATGCAAAATAGATGAGTTTAATACCATATTGAACTTTCCAATTTGTGTGCAGTTGACCTGCCTCCCCCAGAGCCAGAGATCAGCAGGAGGTCTCTGAGCACACCTGGCCTGCAGAGAGAGCCTTGGGTCCAAAACCACAGCATGAGTAAAGGGGCAAACTCCACCATGCATGTTGCCACAGAGGCTGCAGAGGTGGGGCTGTTTGGGGGGGCTCTGTTCCTCCTGGTGGGCTTTGGCGCAGAGGCGGAGGGGCAGCTCTCTCAACTCATCACAGAAAATGGAGGCAAAGTGCTGACAGGGCGAACACGAGGGGTGGCAGCGTACGCCGTGGTGCCTCTGTTGGGGTGCTCTGTGGAGGCCACTGTGGATGAGGTGGTCACTGACACATGGCTGGTGAGATGCATTTTATACTTTGATCAAAATTCATAATTCATTTATTTATAACAATGTACTTTTATTTTTGTTCAGGCCATGTGTGTGGAAAAGGAGTGTCTCTTGGATATTTACTTAAACCCCCTGTTTACTCCTGTGTCTGTGATGGAGGGACGTCTGCCTCTGAAAAACTGTGTTCTTTCAGTCAGTCAGTTCACAGGAGCAGAACGCGAGTCCTTGGTGGAACTAGCTAAGCATCTCGGAGCAACGTAAGACTCCTAGAGATTCAGGATGTTGTTATGGAATTACCATTATGAGAATTAATTTTTAGTCCTTAGTAAAAAACTATACAATACATACATAATTGTATTTTTATTGTATATTTATTGTATTTTTTTTTTTAAGTTAAATGAATACTATATGGAAATGGGTGGAGATGGGGGTAGGTGAAAACAAACATTTTCTTAGCAGTCTGAAATCTAGATGCAGGATAACACAGGATTGCTCAAACATTTATGAATCAGTTGAAATACAAGTGGTAATCTTACAAAGGAGGGAACACTGTTATAATATCATTAAAATATTTTCTTTAAATATTCTAGCACTGACCTGTGATTTCTTCTTCTAGTGTCCAAGATTACTTTGTGCGCCTAGCTAACCTGAAGAAGGGCATGCAGGCCAGCACTCACCTGGTGCTGCAAACCCCAGAAGGCACCAAGTACCAGGCTGCACAGAAGTGGGGTCTCCCTGCGGTTACCATGCACTGGATTCTGGAGTCTGCTCGGACAGGACAGAAGGCAAAGGAGGAACGATACTTTGTGGACCGCCCTCCTTCTCCAGGTTTAAATAAAAAATGGCTATAGGTTCTTGTTTGCTTGTTTGCTTACTCTATGTAACTTTGCTGCTTTGTGGTAATGCCAGCTTCTTGTCTCCATGGTGGTGTTCTTCCTGTGCCTGAGATGTTCCACAGTATGGCATTAAACCTATCAATCTTGCATTCATTCAAGTACAGAGATTTTTTTCTCCCCCCAAATATCTTGAGAAACTTAATTCTTACTATGAGTGGTGTCACTTCTCCACATATCTGACCTGTAACTTTTCTTGGTGACAATATTTGCTTATCTCCATGACCATATCTAAGTTTAATGTCATACTGTGAATCATTCTAAGCAAAGTAATAACATCCCCAAAGCAACAAGAATGTAGCAGACCCCCCCATAAGAAAAGTTACATAGTGTGGCTTTAAACAAAACTATAACAAATAACATACCTATTTGTTCCACCACAGAGAGGGAAGAGGAGAGCTACGTCATTGGTTCTCAGAGGACAGACATGGCCCCTCCTGTACGCAGCAGTTCTCCTGAGATCCCCTTACTCGGCCCACAGACAGGGAAAGCAGTAACACCTCTGGACTTGGGACGTTTCCAGAGCCGAATATTCCGCTCCGGTTTAGAGGACTCCAAACAAAATGAAAATGAAAAGAACCCTGTCAAGGCCCAGGAGACGAGCAGGAGAAACCAACTTACAAAGGAGCCATCTCTGCAGCTTGACACCCCATCTCGCTTCCTCAACAGAGTCACAACAAAGCCATCCTTCAATGTTAAGGTCAGAACCAAAATAATCTCTCCATTTGTTAAATTACAGTATTTAATTTATAATATTTCTGTGCTCAGGATGGGTTAGGAGCTCTGGACACACCTGGTGGAAAGCCTGTCCCTGAGAAGGGAGAGACTCCCCTCACTGATGTCATCAACAGGAACCTCAAAGTGGCTCTAGCCAACAGTTCTCGCACAGAACAGGAACTGTCTGCTAGCCCCCAGCTAAAATATGATGCGGAGGTACATATCTTATTTATAATGCTTAGAAATATTATAGTCATATCACATTATATTAGCCTTAGCAAAGTTTAATTTTTCTGTTTATATCCTAGATACAGGAAAAGGAAGCCAGTCCCCTTGCTGGTGTTGTTATCTGTGTGGGCAAAAAGTTGAGCAAAATGCAGAGTGAACTAAATGCCATGGCTGCCTCTCTTGGAGCTGACTTCAGGTATATATACCCCTAGTTACAAGAACCATAAGTTCAAAGTATTGTTTGATCCACACTATTTATTTTTTTTTCATTATATCATTTTTCCAGATGGGCTTGTGACGACACAGTGACACACTACATTTACCAGGGTCGGGTCGGGGACAACACTCGAGAATACAGAGCTGTGAAGGAGAGGGGACTACATGTCGTCTCCCACCATTGGCTCCATGCTGTAGGTTTACATGCAAGCATCTTTTTATTTCTTTATAGCACGTATGCTGTAGATTTTATTTAAGGAAAAAAAATATGCTTTTTTTGTATATTCAGTGTGCAGAGGAACAGAGGCATGTCCCAGAGTCTCTTTACCCTTTCACCTTCAACCCCAAGATGAGCCTGAACCTAAGCCAGGTCCCCAGCAGCACACAGCGGTCACCAGTCAAAACCAACCACCAACAATCACACAGCAAGGTACAAGGAGTGGAACTGACCAATTACAATTATAAAATTATTAACCTACTGAGTAAATTTCAAATCAGTAACTCCATTTGTTTGTTTAGGTGGAACACAGCACTACAGAGGACACTACAGTTCGGCGGGTCAGTGATGGCAGTGTGGAACAGGAGGACCATGATTCTACCAGAAGTGGTGCGAAACCTTTGCAATATTCTCCTGCTTGACATTCTGTTAATGCCTTGAATAAACTTGGGCTTCTTTGTTTCCTTAGATAATGGTGAAACGGTGGAGATGAGGGAGAGTTTGCAAAAGCAGCTGCAAGAGATAATGTCAGCCACCAAGCTAACAACAGTCAGACGCTCCTCAGTAAGACTGACCAGGAAAGGCTCTTTTGGGAGTGATTCAGGACCACAGACTCCAGGGCGAAACAGCAGCAGACGCACTTTGGAGGCTCTCAGGTATTTTGCAAGATTAGTCACAGTGATATCCTGTGTGTTATTATTGTTTTGGTTGAACAGAGAAGAAGCAACTATGACAAGCTAAAGGGCCCATATTGCACTTTTCTCTGACCTATTATAATGTTTCCTCATCACAAACGTACCTGGAGCTGTCTTTTGTGATGTCATGTGGAAATACATGAAGTATTCCACTGTGTTTTTAAACTCCATGTATTTTCACTACAATAATTTGGATAATTCAGACCTGGAATTGTCAATCTCTACTAAACAAGAAGTAAAAGGTAGCTGTTAACATGAAAACTACTGGTTCATGACATCGCAAGGTGGAATAGAGCATTTTGAGTTTTGGAGATGTTGACAGACTAATATTAAAGGATTCCTCAAACGGGTGAAGGAAACAAAACACAACTTTTCATATGTTTCTGAGGATGTAACAGCGTTCTAACATGGCTAAAAGGAGGCAATTTTGCGTAATATAGGACCTTTAGTTACTTCTGGACATGAACCTAAAAAACAAATTCTCGTTGCCATCACAATATTGGTCAAAACTTTTGCTATTGTTTTCCCAATATATTTCAGACTCCTAAACTATTTACATAAACAAATACATCCAAAGCTTTTGATTGGTTTATATAAATTATAAAGTTAAATATAAACATAGACTAAAATCTGTCTAATATAACATTTAACATTTCAGATTTTCCAGAGAAGCAGCCATGGATATAAACACAGAGCCCTCCCAGAGTGAGCAGATTGTTTGGGATGACCCCACAGCCCGTGAGGAGAGGGCCAAGCTGGCTGATAACCTCCAGTGGCCTGGGAGTCCTTCACAGTATTCAGAGCCCTTAGCCGCCGCTTGTCGCACTATTACAGAAGAGCCACAGTTTAAGGACTCTATGACTGACTCTGAGCTGGTGGAAATGGGTAAGTTAAATTGAACACTACTTACGATTTAAATGTATTTATTATTGGAATTTTGTACATTTTTTTGTCTTATTCATAGCTGCCATTGATGTTATTGATAAAGAACTGGGCCAAAGGGTCAAAGAGCCAGATCAGCAGCCACAGAATGAGCTCCTCACTCCAGAAGCCCCCAGCATCGCCTTCCCCCTTGCCAATCCTGCGGTAGCACCAGAGCCACAGGTAAATCAAATAGGGCTAGCTTTGAGGTCATATGGTGGCATCGCAGTCAGTTTGTCAAATTAATAATATCGTTTGTTGCTAGGAGGAGGAAAAGCCACCACCATGTTTTCAGATGTCTTCCCTCAGTCCTCAAGAGCGCATAGATTACAGTCATCTCATAGAAGAGCTAGGTAAGACAAAATTCCGGACCTTTTATGATTATTTGTTAATATTTTTACCCTTTATTTATTTACCGCAGAACTGTGTAGCTTTAGTGGCATTGTACTGTATGTATGGTACATTTTACAATAGTAAAAATCTGATGCCTAGAATCACCAGGTAACTCAATAATTAGATCTGATTTTATGATTAGTTTGCCTTTTTTGCATAATTTTCCTTGTCAAAACTTGTACAACTTGTGCATTGTGAATCAGAAATCAGATTACTGATATCAGGTATAACTGTTAGACATTTCAATAATCTGATAACTCCAGAAATCAGATAATGATCAGATGTTTGGTATGCCTGTAAACATAACCAGTAACTTTTTTCCAGGTGGTGTCGTTTTGGACAAGCAGTCATTCGACCCCAGCTGCACCCATATTATCGTAGGCACCCCTCTTAGGAATGAAAAGTATCTGGCAGCAATGGCCTCTGGGAAGTGGATTCTGCACCGCTCCTATATGGAGGCCTGTCGCTCTGTGGGACACTTTATAGAGGTGTGATTCTTGAATTTGGCTAATCTTTTTATTGCTTGTGACAGTCTCAGAAGCACTGTAGTATCTGTTTCAGGAGGAGAATTATGAATGGGGCAGTAGTTCCATTCTCAACGCTTTGCCCTCCATCACATCCCAGCAGAAGAGGTTGGCGCTCGCTGCTATGCGCTGGAGAAAGGCTCTGCAGGGGCGCTCTGATCAGGAGGTACTGACTACTCCCTGACATACTAATAAACTGTCTGTGTGCTGACTTAATACTTAATACTGTACACTCATGTTTCAGGGATCCTTCAGTGGATGGACAGTCATGCTGAACATCGACCAGAGTAGAGACACTGGCTTTAGACGGTTACTGCAGTCAGGAGGGGCTAAAGTGAGTGCTTGCTCATATTTACTTTGGATATCAATCCTACCTTTATTCACTTTGTCCACTTTTATATTGACTTGAATCTACCTATTTCTCTTCCAGGTACTACCCAGTCCATCTCCATCTTTGTACAAGGAGGCCACCCATCTGTTTGCCGACTTCAGTCGCCTAAAACCTGGAGACTTCAGAGTGGACATATCTGAGGCCTCTGCTCATGGACTGACATGTCTGAAGCCAGAGTACATTGCAGATTATCTCATGCAGGTCAGTCAGTCTTTTTTGTTATTATATTATGAAATTAATGTGCCCCAAACATGTTGTAAATATTTTATCTTTTCTATAGGATCCTGTCCCACCTATTGCATTGTATCTCCTGACCGATGCTCCCGCTGAGGAAACCCCGAGCACTCCTTCTCGCAAACGCAAAAATGCAGCAGAGCACTCTAAGCTGAAAAAGAGCCGTTTGAACTGAATGTGAATGATACGCATTCCTTTAATCCTAATTTACCATACATATAATATTTAATATTTTTAAAGGATTTAGGAAAAAGTGAAATGTAAATAAATGTTTTTGACCATTTGTATGTCGTCATCTTCCTTTTTAATGGGGTGCTGTGAACATGTGAGTGATGAGTTCAGAAATTGTTGAGTCATGTTTTGTGATGGATTGCAATTTGATAAGAAGCCTGTTGAGGGCAGTATATTTCCACGTATAGCTCTTTTTTTTTTTTTTTTTTTTTTTTAAATCGAGAGGCACAAAGTCTAACTTTAAATTAAATGATTCCTTATCTACCAGATATGAGAACCAAGCCATTTAACCAGAATTGCCTTTAAAGATACCAAATTAACTTTTTAGTAGTTGTATAATTCAATGTCGAAGGATGTCCAAATGCAAATAAGAATAATTTAAAGAGGTGGAGAGAAACTGCTAGGCCTTCTACCAGGTCAGGTGAATACGATATACGTTTATTATAATTAAAGAAGACTGTACAGTTCTCTAATAATTGTCTGTTTCTGGATATTGTGTGGTTTAGGTGTTTTAATCAACAGGTGTCTCAAGGTATCGCTAGCAGTCTGGCACACGGCCAAGCAGCGTCGAGTTTCAGATGACACCGCTAGCATCTCGTGTTAGTTTGAGAATCGAGACTAACTTTACTGGCCTCACTCGGGACAACATCTTATCGCAGGGGAAACTCCGCAGAGCCCTCATTAGAATTCCCTGTCCGTACTGCTCCGTTATGTTATAGTGGGTGGCACCGTGCGTCCTGCCTCCGTGCGCGCGTCTTAATTATTACGCACCACGCATTAAAGAAAGGTTCCATCGCTCACCGTCGCCACCTCGCTTCATGTTCCACTCATTTACACCGTCTGGAAGGAGCGGGGAAGGTGTGTGAAGCGAAAGGTCCCCAGTGGTCCCGCGGAGGGGGGAGTCTCGTCCTGTGCATCTCATTTGCCCACCGCTTGGACGCACCGTGCCGCTTTGCACTGTCCGCTCCCCGCAGTCCTCGCATCTTCCCGGGGCTTCCTTCTCCAAGAGACTCTGGCTGCTGTGGCTGTGACATATTATCCCAACATGTGCTCCAGGACAGGTTGAGGAGGTACACGGAGGCGCTGGGGTTGAATTAAACTCGGATACGGCAAGTACCCGACGTTACGACGCACCGTGTCTACTAGGTAAGTCCCGTAGTTTATGACTACTTTAGATTGGACAGCTCCCGTGCTGTTTCAATGCGTTTTGTGAGTTAACGGCACAGTCAGCGGCTGGAGTGGTTCACTGTTATTTGCCAATGAATTGCTACCATAAAAACACGCGTTACTGCAATTGTCACATAGTACAACGGTGTCCTGTTACTAGGCATGTCCTGAAGCACTGGTCTGCGATCTACTGGCTTTTTTGCAATCATTTAGGCTGGATAGGGTATGGCTTTTTAAGTAGCCTCTAAAACTAAACGTGCTTTTGCTATTGGAAAAAAATGTTATCCATGCGTAAATGTCTAAACTGTCTGCTACTACCCATTAACAAAGCATAAAATCATGTATGCTATAACGATGTAATGAATAACATACCACTTTAATATCAACCCAGTCCCCTACAGCCCCATAAACCCATGACATTGCACTGCCTCGCTCCTAAACCATTAGACATCTCGCCTCCTTAATATGGCTGCTAGACTGAGAATTGCCCTAAAACTATTGACAGCCTGCTGACATGCCTGGCACTTTGATGATGAATGGTGGACATAAATTGCTCGGATGTAATCTTGTTTGAAGGCCAGTTTGCTTCTCCAAAACCCACTTTTATGTCGCCTTTGCGGACAATCAACCCGCAGGTACAGACATAAATCTCAACCAGCTTTGCCCTGCATGCCCTTCAAGTGGTCTACTCCATTGGCAACATTGCATGGACAAAGCAGATAGTGGAAGAAGCTCTTATAAACCAGGGACACTGCTGGAGTCCCATTGGGTTCCCATTGCAGCAGAGAGCCTTGGCTTTGTCTAGCAGAACAGTGGAATGGTATGGTGCTCACAGTAAAGCAGGCACTAATTGAACCTTGCCATTGTGATAGGAATGTTTGGTTGCAAAGCTCTCCCACAAACCCCTCTCTCTTTTGTTTGGGAGGTGCACTGAGGTGCTTGTTGGTGGGGCAGGGGGCAAAGGGGGGCAGGGGGAGGGTCTAGGGGTCAGGAGGGGCAGGGACATGTGGAGCTGACAACCTCCTCGGAGCCAAACTGACACATTGTGATGGCATGAATGGGTACTAAGGACATATGAGGAGAGCACTTAACGCTAATAAGGACATATACTCTTGGGCCCTTGGGAGCAGTGGTCGAACATGCAACAGTTCAGAGGGTAGCGATAGCACGGGACTGGCTATGGATGAAAGACTAAGGTCCTTTTTTAGTCCTATATTACACAAAGTTGGATTCTTGTGAGCTTCAAGCCATGTTATAATGCAGGGGTCTCAAACTCAATTGGAGCAGGGGCTAAAGTTATAAAAATCAGTATTAGTAGGGGGTCACATGCTGTGGCCTGGTAACAGCCAATCAGAAGTGTCAAGGGAAATTTATAGAACCTTATCGTCTCCATGGTGATCAAGGGTTTGCAAAATGATTAGCACTGTTAGAAAGGAACTATCCAACTAACTGCTAATAAAACAATACGATTATAATATTGATTTAACACAAAAAATGCATCACTATCTATTATTACTATCTATTATATTATTATTACTATTATATTATTCTTATTATTAGTTTCTATCTATTATTACTATCTATTAGGGTTAGGTCAGCATTTATGATTGTCTACATTCATGTGTGAGGAAAATATTTGTGTGGTATGTGCATACAGTGTACATATTACTAAGCATACATATTTTTTTTTTATTTTATTAGTGATTTGTCAGTTGCTCATCCTATCATTGGTTTTAAAATAACTACATTTTGGTGACTGATGGTACTTCATTTTGATATCATCGGTGATTAATGCTAAAGGATTGTGTGTGTTTTGTATTTCCATATATCCCCATGCACGTAAGAATATTTAGAAATTTAAGTAGAAAGTTATCCGCTAGTCCAGGGGTCTCAAACTCAATTGGAGCAGAGGCAGAAGTTATAAAATCAAGTTATAAAATAAAAGTGTTGGTGTTGGTATAATATGTTATAATCATAATATACTAGGATACTATATTATTGTTTATATAATGCAAGACAGAGGCCCTCATGAGGTTAAGAAAATAATATGCTAGTTAATAAAAATAATATTAATGATTTATTACAGGCTTTTAAGCAGTATTTTAAATCATAAATTGTCTCTGTGTTTTCAACCAGAGCACCAGGGTCAATCTTCTCTTCTGCAAAGACAAAACAAACCATCAACCTTTGAGTAGATATTAAGTACTGTACATGCTAAAAATGACTTCTCTCCCCATCTACTGTAGCCTTGGCTCATGAAGCTGCTCCTCTGGTTTGACAGTCACTCCTGCCTGTTTCTGAAGCTTCTGTTCTCACAGTTCATTTGTTTAATGTCTGTTTCTTGGTTGGAGTAAGTTTGAAAGTCCGTGTAGAAGAGCTGTATGCCCCTCTCACTCTGTTTGCCCCTCTCACTCTGTGGCAGCAAGGGCCGAATTGACACTACAGGCACCGTTACATTATGAGAACTGTAGTTCAAATTCGTATGCGTTTTATTGGCGAAAAATCGTCCTGATGGCCAGTAGAAATGATCTCGGGGGCCTCATATGGCTCATGGGCCACAAGTTTGAGACCCTGTTATAATGTTATTACCTCATCAGAAACTTACCTGGAGTTGTGTTTTTTTCATTCACACTTGAATAATCCTGGTTTTCTACATCTCCAAAGCTCAGTAGAGATTTGCATTTTCAGAGTTGAAATAATCCAAATGATTCTAGTGATTGTATATGGAGTTTAAAAACACAGAAGAGCACGAGTTGCATTGCCACATGACATCACAAGGTGGAACACAGTGTCTTTTGTTTACAAGAAGAACTCAGCCTAAATACGAAGAGTTTGTGAATGAAACAAAACACAACTCCATGTCTGTTTGTAATGAAGAAAAACTGCTCGTCTCAATAAAGATGTCATTGCATTCTCTAAAATGTTACACAGAATGGCATTAAACTTATCTATTCAATTACAGGCGTTTGATTGCCAAATAAAGGCTTATCTTTATCTTAAACATTACCTTGTAAAACACACATTCTTACAGTAAAAGGGATAGCATCTCTGACCTGTAACTTGGCCTGGTGCTGCCATTAGCTTGTCTCCATGGAGATAGGGATAAGTTAATGCCATACTATTGAACATTCGCAGCAAAGCAATTACACTGGCATGGAGCCAAGCAAGTCCGTAGTGCATTTTTTAATTTATAGCTGTATAGACTAAAAAGCTGTCATGTTTTTTTAGGCATGTGTGATGTTTTGTGTTGCAGTTTCATATCAGAATATCACATACATGATATATGAATACATTCATAACAAGTGAGTTAATTATATGTATATTTTTTATTGGTACAATGGGATTTTACTCTCTTTCTCATCGGTTTCCTGCCAGAGTTTCAATTTCCACTTGTGCTAACCTTTAGAGCACCTCTATACTATCTTATGTCAACAAAACACCATTTCTTTTTCTTTTCTTTTTTTTTTAACAATGCTCCACCAGTTCTGTGCTCCAGACACGTCCCTTATCACTGTTAGGAAAAGTCCACATGGAACATTGAAAACTGTTCGGAAAATCTCAGCTTTTGCAGCGCTGTGTTTTTTCCAGGGAAAAGGCAAAGTGACAGATATTGTAGACACAGTGGACTGGACAGTGACCCCACAATGAAATGTCCCCATGACTGGTGCAGACTGGTACATGATGGAATGTAGCCCCTTCGTCTCCCTGTTGGCTTGCAAATGTCAATGAGAGCTTTGCTGAATATAGAATTGTAATTTAAAATTTTAAGTTTATTTATATATTCTTTAAATTTAAGTTAATGATTTGGATTGTCCAGAAAAGACATAGATTTTCACATTTCAGTTACTGGTTTGGGCAGTGAGCACTATCTGTTTACCTTTGCAAGAGTTTTATGATAAAGGTTTCAGCTTCCTGTTATATGCAACATTTTCATGACTTTTTCCCCTTTGAAAAGATAGCCTATAATAATATTTAATATTTACTTTTTAATAATTGCTTTTGCAACAGTCCTAATTTCTCATAATGTAAACCAATGGATAGGTATATCCACTCAAAAAGAACATTTTCTTATGAGGTTGCATGATATGGTGCTATTGTCAAATTGTGAGTCAGTATTTTCCTGTTTAAAGGTGCACAACATGACGTTTTGGTTGGGGGTCCGTTACCTGCTTGTTTCTGTGGATATGTCACTGCTTTGTCTGGAATGTTCCACAATATGACATTACACAGCTCAGCCAAATGTTTATTAAATTACAGGTGGTTTTATATTTCAAAAATACATAGAAAACCAGATATTCTGACTACGAACATGTCGCCTCTCCACAGATTTGACCTGTAACTTGATTTGGTTTGGTCTCCATGAAGATAAATGTTTAGTATCATACTGTGAAACATTCCAGACAAATCAATAACATCTCCATGGAGAATAGTTTACCTTTTGCACCTTTAATGCAGCTCCATGTTTCTGTTTTTCCCACCACTTTCTTTCCTTATTGGTCAACATCCTTCATCTTAAGAGTGAATGACAAGTGGATTTAACCAATGACAGTGAAGTGACCTCCCAGAAGAAAACAGCTGTAGTCACCTTGTCAAAATCATGATCTTGGTGTTAGAAAACTGTAATACTTTTTCATGTATTTTGGTTCAGTCCATTGATTCACCTCTGTATTTGCTCGTAGCTTTTTGCTCTGTGCCCCAAATGCATCCGCGTGGAACAGACTTTGCCCCTGAAAACAGCCTGACTAAACAGCCCCAGGATTTGGGTTCAGACTAAAGGAAGTCTACAGCTATACTCGTCTTCCTGTGTTGTTTTAAATGCCACGGTGTGTTAAGCAAGGCACTTTGAACATTTCATTTACTATAGGGCGCGTATGCAGGGCTCGCAGTGGGAGGTGAGCATAAGCAAGAGCAAGCTACTGAACCAAGACGAGAATTACATCCAGCAATTTAGGATTACATAGGATGGGTTACAGTATAAA